GGGTTGAAGTGGACATTTCTCATGAACTTAGAACTCATTTCAAAGCCTTTACTCCTTCCCTTACCTGTTAATATGGTTGTTCATATTAATTCCTGGACTTCCCACATATCTTAGTAGGGCTCACTGTGGCCCAGGCTTGGTGTGACCTGCCTGCATGCTGCACTACTCTCCTCTCTTTATGCCTCCTGTTGGTCCCTTCTCAGTTCTCTGTTATCTTCAGACACAGCAGGTCTCAGACCCACCCTCCTTCCAGATCCATAGCCCCGTCTCCCCAGGGCTGGTCACAGTGCAGGAACAGTACATGTTCTCATCTGCGGCTAGCCTCTAGCTCAAGACATTTCCCTTCCTCTGCTGCTCCCTTTGTAGAGGGAGGTCACAGGCAGCCTCCCAGGATGGACGTGTCACCAGAAATCGGTTGCTGTACATCCAAATCCTCTACATGACACTTGTCTTTCTCTCTGGTATCTGAGTTGCTGATTCCTTCCAAACCAGGCAAGGTGCTAGTCTGAGTCTACTGGGTATGCTCTGTTTCCCCTGTCTCTGAGCCCTTTTTGCCCCCTGATCTCCAGTGATCTCTCTCCTCCAAGGGCCACACCTTGCCCTATGTCAGCCCAGAGCTTTGGGAACTGACTGGATCCCCAAGTAGTATATGTATTTCCTTTTGTACGTCCCATGTAATTGTGTACCAGTGGTTCATGCAGCTACGCTTCCCTAGCTACTCTGGGTCTTGTGGAAGAGAATCCAGGGGACTCTCACCTCCTGCTCCAGGCTTCCCAGCACACATTCCCTGACTGACTCATTGCATGGGCTACACTCACTTTTCCATCTGCAGACAAGAAAACTGGCTCAGAAGGGTTTAGGCACTTGCTCAAAGGCATGGAGCTGGTCGCCTCTTAGAACCCAGCATGGATCTGAGAACAAAAGGCATACTCAATGGATACACCCTGGCTAACTGAAAGTCTTTTAGAAAAGCTTCCAGCACAGAGTCAAAGCCCAGGCCTGGGACAGAGGCCCCTCCGCCCTCCCCACTGGCCCTTGCCAGTTGGGAAAAAAGCCACCACGTAGAAACATAACCTTTATTGCACACGGCGCTGGGTCTTTTTTCATAGAAAAAGGTATTAACACATAAGCATCTGCAAATTGAAGCAACTCCTGGTTTTCTTGGAACAGTAAAATATCCCAGGCTGGCCTCAAACTCACTATGAAGTCAAAGGTGATCTTAAACTTCCAGCTCCACCTCCTGAGCACTGGGATCACAGCATGCACCATCGCATTTGGTTTATGCTGTGCTGCAGACTGAGCCTGCCGGCTCCACATATACTAGGCATGAATGCTAATGACTGAGTTACACTCCAGACTGGCCTGTCTGAATTTCCAGACCTGTGTGTCTTTGTAAGGTGCCAGCTCAGTTGCATAGGCATTTAACCGGCTCCTGTTTGGCTTTTCATTGCCTCTCTTATTCTTCCCCATCCTATACAGTCCTCCTTGGGCCCCAGGCCTCCTCCAGCAGTCTCCCAGGCTGACCCATTGTCTTCTACCACTGACTGTGTCTCTCCAGAGAGGAGTGTGCAGTGCTCTCCATCTCATCCAGCTTGCATCAAGGCTCATTGACTGGACAGCTCAGTATCCACTGCTTACTTGCTTGAGTCCAGCTTACTCACAGGCTGGAGTCTCCTAATGGCAGCACCCTCATGGCAGAGCTGAACTCAGACTTTGAATAGTGGGACACTGGGTAGTGTGACTCAGTGGCCAAGGAAGCAGACTCTTAAGAACTAAAGCCTCATTGTGATCTCTTCCTGATCTTCTAAACTTGGGAGAGTTTGCTAATCCCTGAGAGCCCTGGCTTTCTTGTCCATCGAATGGAAATCCTGACACTGTCCCGTAAATCAGCCAGCAGTCAGGTTAGTAGGCAATGTGATGGATGCACTCTACTTAGCTCCTGCCCCACACGCCATACCTTGTGATGGCAATGTCCCCTTTGTAGCCCCTAGGAAGGTGGCTCCATTTCCTAACTACTCTGGGCTCTGAAGAGTTAGTCATTCGTGCCTGTGTTCTGGCTGGAGCTAGGTCTGATTCGTATTTGTTTCCCAGTGTTCAGAAAGCAGTGTGTGTGTGTGTGAGCCCCCTGATCTCCAGTGATATCTCTCCTCCCTGTGGCCACACCTTGCCCTATGTCAGCCCAGAGCTTTGGGTACTGACTGGATCCCCAAGTAGTATATGTATTCCCTTTTGTATGTCCCATGTAATTGTGTACCAGTGGTTCATGCAGCTACGCTTCCCTAGCTACTCTGGGTCTTGTGGAAGAGAATCCAGGGGACTCTCACCTCCTGCTCCAGGCTTCCCAGCACACATTCCCTGACTGACTCATTGCATGGGCTACACTCACTTTTCCATCTGCAGACAAGAAAACTGGCTCAGAAGGGTTTAGGCACTTGCTCAAAGGCATGGAGCTGGTCGCCTCTTAGAACCCAGCATGGATCTGAGAACAAAAGGCATACTCAATGGATACACCCTGGCTAACTGAAAGTCTTTTAGAAAAGCTTCCAGCACAGAGTCAAAGCCCAGGCCTGGGACAGAGGCCCCTCCGCCCTCCCCACTGGCCCTTGCCAGTTGGGAAAAAAGCCACCACGTAGAAACATAACCTTTATTGCACACGGCGCTGGGTCTTTTTTCATAGAAAAAGGTATTAACACATAAGCATCTGCAAATTGAAGCAACTCCTGGTTTTCTTGGAACAGTAAAATCGCATGCAGTGTCTCTGAGTTGGGATTTTGGTCTTTGTCAAAACCACCTAGTTTGGGAGGGGGTCAATAGGAGGGCAAAAAAAAAATTGCTGTCTTTGTGCCTCTGACTCAAAAGAAGGTGAGAGAAATATATAGATATATAGATTGTCGCTGTGTCCCATTCTGCCTATATATGTATATATCTCTCCACACGTATTTCATGGGGTGGAGGATTTGACTTATTTTGTGCCCTGGCTTCATGGAGAAGAAGAAAATAGTTTCATTTGTACAAAAGAGTCCTATGTACAGTGTTCATGACTTGGGGGTTTCTTTTCACGTCTTTTTTTTTTCTTTTTTCTTTTGTCTGTGAGTTTAATATAAATAATTCAGGAAACAGCCACGTTGGTGTGTCAGGGCTGGAGGTGCAGAGGTCCCAGTGTGGAGCCCTTCTCTTGATGTCCGCAATCCTACACCAGGGTGTAGGATTTGGAATAGGCTCCGGCCCCCTGTTTCTGAGATCGCCCTACCCCTGGGGTGCTCATCTCGAGTAGTGAGTCCCTGGAGCCCCCCATTTTGGTGTGTGGGCCTCCGGCCCTTGGAGGTTCAGTGCTGGGGGCCGGAGGGGCAGCACTAGGGGCAGCAGGAGGCTCACTGGGGGTAGGACCAGGTGCTGGGGGTGCCGTGCCAGCTGGGGGTGCCGGCATGGCCAGAGTCCTCTGAGGTAAGGTGGCCGTGGCGGTGGCAGCAGGGGCCCCTGGATGGGGGAGGCCCAAGGGCTTGCTGGCAGGGTCCAGAGTGAGGTGCCGTGCCTGGGTGTGGTAGGCTCGAGTCAGGTTCCTCATGGAGGCCTCTCGGGGTGGGACCACAGGGCAGGGCTCCCGCCCATCTGCCTTTCGGAAGAAGGCCTCTGACTTGGTGTACAGTGGCAGGTTGCAGTAGTCGCCTGGAATCACAGAGGCAGATGATATCAGAATCAGAAGCCTGGGGACACATTCAGTCCCTCTCTACCCTCACCAGATTAAGGGGATGATCACTCCGTAACGAGCTTCTCCCATGTGTCAGTCACGTATGTGATTTTTAAAATTTTTTAAAATTATTTTTATCTATTTGCATTAGTGTTTTGCCTTTATCTATATCTGAATGAAATTGTTATATACACTGGAACTTGAATTAAAGGTGGTTGTGAGCTGCCATGTGGGTGCTGGGAATTGAACTCAGGTCTTCTGGAAGAGCAGCCAGTGCTCTTAACCTCTGAACCATCTCTTCCAGCCCCTTAATTTTTTTTTTTTTTTTTTTTTAAGGATTATTTAGGTATAAAATGTTCTGTCTGCATGTATGCCTGCAGGCCAGAAGAGGAAGGATTATTTTAGGTATAAAATGTTCTGTCTGCATGTATGCCTGCAGGCCAGAAGAGGGCACCAGATCTCATTACAGATGGTTGTGAGCCATCATGTGGATGCTGGGAATTGAACTCAGGACCTCTTGAAGAGCCATGTCTCCAGCTTCTGTGATTTTTTTCTTAATGCAAAGGAGTTATTACACAGATATAAAATTAAGATCAGAGACGTTAAGTGACTTGTTTAAAAACCACAGAAATATGAAGTTGAGTGAGAACATGGTCCTGAGCTGTTCTCAAGTCCTTGCTCTTACGTTATTGTCAGGGAACCAGGGAAGGCTGGCAGGATAAGATCTAGATAGGTTTGTGGTGCTGGGCAGCAGGGGCCAGAGCAGGGGATGTGGGCTGAGCACTCACTCTTGTTGGCTCGGTGAGGGATGGGCACAGCCACGTTCTTGCCCCGGTCAGCGTCTTGGGGCTTGGGTGGAGAGGCGGTGAAGCGGCAGATGCCAGGCTCTGAGGGTGTGCTCATGGATGTCATGCTGTCAGCATTTTCGTTGGTGCCTGTGGTCATCTGGTCCGAGGAGCTGTCCGAGATGAAGCACTCTGTGATCTCAAACTTGGCATGCTGCAGCTGCTCCTCCAGCTTGGCGTGCTCGTAGGCCCGGGCCAGCTCCTCATAGGTGGAAGAAGCACTCTCAGTAGACACCATGCTGTTCCGTCCTTTGTCTGGAGACAGGGAAGGGGTGGAGTTGGGAGGAGAGGAGCAGGCTATGGGGTGGGGATGGCACCACCCCTAATTCAAGCAGCCATTTGAAAGCCTGGCCATGAGGGCACCAGCTAAAGACCCCGTTCTCCCCAGGGAAAGTGATAGTGGAGGCATAAGTGAGATCATTGGCTAATGAAGAACATTTTTCAGTCTAAGGAAAAACAACAGCAACAACAACAACAACAACAACAACAACAAAAACCCAACCAACCCCTGTAATATCAGCTCTTTCTTTAACAAATGTTCAGTGCATCATTTTTTTTCTTAATAATTTTTTGGGAAGATCAAAATAAAATCATGGACCAAGCAAGGTCAAGTGTCCCCTGGGCCCGAACCCTCACCATACAGGGAATCGGTGGATAGCTGGGAAGGCAAGTGATGTGAATGTTAGACAACAGGCTGCTTAGAAAGGAACTGGGAAAAGAAAATGAGCAACAAATGAGGGGAACTGGGGGAGAATGGATGGGATGTAGGCAGGACCCTGAAGATGGAGGTCCTCAGACCCACCTGTGTCTTGGGATAGACTGGCACTGTAGCTGTCACTCTCAGTGACAGTAACACCATGCTGGGAACCCACGGTGCGCCAGTCAGAGGTGAGGGTTCGGGCAGGGGTGGAGGCCTGGCACTTGGTTAAGGTCCACTGGCTTGAGTACCGGTTCCGAGTGCTGTGGGCTGATTTCACATTCTTCCTGGACACTGGGTCTACACAGAGGGAGGCAAGACATAGCATCCTCCAACTGAGGGCACTCAGACACAGGCAGCTGGCACTTAGCACAAAGAGCAGTGGGGAGCAAAGGTAGTGGCAGAAGCAGTCACAGAGGTTCACCTGGGAATGCTGGCCATGCATCCTGACCCCCACTCCTCCCCAGCATGTCCTTATACATGGGATGAATGGGATGCTCTGTTCTGTTTCTTCTAACTGTCATCCCTACATCCTTGATGTAGCCCTTCCTTGTGTCTGGAGTCACTGCTTGTGACAGAAAGCCCTTGGAGAGCATGAAGACCCAACCCTTGCTCCAAATTTCTAAGTAAGGAAATTGAGAGCCATAAAGATAAGGCTAGTAATACCCAAGGTCATTTATAACTAGGATGTCTGCAGGCAAGGCCTCTAGACTCTTAACTCCAGAGTCTTGTCTACTCTTCCATCCCATTCCATTGTATGCATTCTCTTTCTCGCTCTAAAAATGTATGTGTATGTATGTGTTCATATGTGTGTTTCAGAGATTGATGTTTATTGTCATCCACCTGCCTGGTCTTTTGAGATAGGGTCCCTTGCTGAAATTGGAGCTCACCAATTTGGCTAGGCTGGCTGGGCAGTGAGCTCTAGGGATGCACTTGCTTCTGCATCCCAAGGGCTGGCACTACAGATGTGTCCCTGTTTTTTTTTTTTTATATGGGAGATAGGCTTTTGCAGAGGCTCTTTATTAACTAAGCCAGCTCCCCAGCCCTCTTTTTCTTTCTTTCTTTTTAAAAAATCAACTCTACCCCATGCCGAGTGACCCTCCTCCCACCAACTCCCATAGGACTGCCTCTTTGCAGTTAATGCATACTGGTTCCTGGCCGGATGTCTGACATGTCGATGAGGGGTCCTGTGCTCTGGATGAGGGCTGGATGGTGCAAAGAGACACCAGTACAGAAGCTCTGTGGGTTGACTGCTTGGCTGAACTCTGCATCTGTTACAGGGATGGTGGCCTTGTCATCTCCTAGAGGGAGAAAGAAATCACCTGAAGTCCTCCCCAATTTTTTTTTTGTCTTTATCCCAATGCTGAATGCCAGATCCAGAGAGACCAGCAGCTCTCTGCATTGGAAGGAGAAGAAAGTTGGCCCTTGAGAGGAACTGCAGTGAATTCCAAAGCTGCTGAATGGATGGGGTTACAGCTAGAAACCTGGGTATGGCCATGGGGCTTGCAGTTGTCCTCCATGGGTTGTGGCCTGGAGAAGCACACCTAGAGCAGGTCACTTACCCAGCTGCTTGATGCCCTCCTTGTCCTCGATGAGCAGCTGAACCCTGGGGATGTCAATGTGGAGCCGTGGACCCTGGGGCGGCCCTTTAACAGGGGTGTCAAAGCTTCGATTGTTCTTGCTGTGGAAGAGTGAAAGGAAGTGAGTGTCTCAGGAGCTGAAGAAGCCTGGGGTAAGGGACTTTTCAGACCAAAGGGATGTTAGATACCTCTTTGGGTGGCTCTAATATAGGGGAGCATGGGGATGGGGAAGGGGATGGGGATGGGAGTATCAGCGGGAGGGGAGCAAAGAGAAAGCAGCTAAGTGACACCTACCTTATCAGCATTTCTGCCAAACTCTTTGCATCTGCAAAACAGTAGAGAGATAGCTGGTTGAGAATGGAGTTTGAGCAGGAGAAGTAAAAGAGCCATGTGGATGAAGTGGGGACAGTGTCTAAAATGACTATGGTCTGAGGAGTGGAAGTAGCAGGATAAAGACCCACAAGACAGCAATGATAAGATTCCATTGCTCCCAATTTGGTGTTGGCTTAGCTCTGGCTCCCTTTTCTTAGACTCCCCCGCTCCAACCTAATAGAGAGCTCTTCCTAAAAGAGATGAGGCATCTTCGGTGCTCTGTCTACTTCATGAACCTGCTGTAATTTAAGAAGATTCCATGAAATGCTAGAAACAGACATTAGTAAAGGATCCTCAGCTATCTCTTGGGGGAAGGGGAGAGGAGATGAGGCATCTTCGGTGCTCTGTCTACTTCATGAACCAGCTGTAATTTAAGAAGATTGCATGAAATGCTACAAACAGACATTAGTAAAGGATCCTCAGCTATCTCTTGGGGGAAGGGGAGAGTGTCGGATGAGGTAGAGGTGGCCAGTGAGAAGCCCTAGATGACTAAACTCTCACACCAGCCAAGAGACTTTACTTCTTCCTCTAGGCCAGTAGTTCTCAACCTTCCTAATGCTGGGAGCCTTTAATAAAGTTCTTCATGTGTGGTGACTTCCCAACCTTAAAATTATTTCATTGTTACTTTATAACTGTAATTTTGCTACTGTTATTAATTATAATGTAAATATCTGATATGCAGGATATCTGATATGTGATCCCAAAGGGGTTGTGATTCACAGGTTGAGATTGCTGCTCTAGGGCATCTGTGCCCCAAAGTCCACGAATGGATTTGAGAGTCCACACTGTATCTCAAAGGGGCCTTGAATCTCACTGGGACTCTTAGGTGATGATACTGGAGGAGAGGGGAGCCAAAGGGTCTATCTAATGTATTAGAGCCCAGAAGCTGAAAATGACCTGTCAAAATGGAGATAGTGGTATGCCTGCATCCAACCATCCATGTACCTAACTGCCCATCTAGCTGTTCGTTCACCCAGCCATAAAAATATTCATCCATCCATCCATCCATCCATCTATCCATCCACCCATCCACTGATCCAACTATCAATGCATCCAACTATTTTTGTTTTTTGAGACACTCACGAATTCTAAGCTGTCCTCAAATTTGAACTCCCTTTGTAGTTGAGGATAATCTCAAATTTCTGATTCTCCTGCTCTAACAGCCCAAGTGCTAGGTTTACTGCTGTATACTATCATACCTAGATTCTGTAGTGCTGAAGATCAAACCCCAGAGTGCATGCATGCCAGGTAAACACTGATCTATATCCCCAGCCCCCATCTAACTATTTAATCATCTACCAACCAACACCAGCTATTGACTCATCTATAAAGCAATGCATTCAACATTCAACCATCTTTCCATTTATATGCCCAACTAGCCACACCATTATGTAACCACCCATTCAACCATTTATATAATTATCCCCGCCACCCAGCTATACTTTTATCCAACTATATGGATGACTATATCATGGGTCAAATCGCTACCTGTTATCCATCAAAATACTCATTCTCCCACCACTAACCCAATCAACCATTTACGTATCCAAACCATCATCAAACCATTTGTCTATCCATTCTTGTATTTATTCATCTACCAACCATATATCAACCATCCATTTAAACATTAAATCATTTATCCAACTATCTAAGCACTCATTCACCCAGCTATTCACTGAACTATCTGTTCTTCCATTCCCTCTGGTTCCAAATACCATGGATAGGTTAGTAATTCTCTCTTCTGTGCTGCTGTTGTCCCCTGACTTCTCTCATTAAATAGTGAACTCTATAAGTATATGGATGGCTTGCCCCTTCTTAACCTCTGCATCTCTACCCTTCAACAGTATCTACTTTGCATCATATTCAAATATTTTTCAAGGGACTGAGCAAACATATGAGGAAACTAGTAGGTGCTAGATACTGTACCAGGTACTGGGACAATCAAGAAACACAACATTCATTTATTCAAGACTATGGTGTTAAGTATTGAAAGGGACAATATTCAAAATGTTTTCACATTTGACACAGCATGGAAACTGTCTGGCCAGGAATTGAACAGAGTCCTAGAGAGAGGTATTTGCCAATGATACGGAGCTATTGGCACATGTTAATAACCAATATGGCTTTACCAGAGTGGACCTGCACGAATGTCAGCCCTAGTTGGTGCAGGCACAAAATCCTGGGGCCATAAAAGGAGAAAGATATGTCTAAGGAGACTTAAGAAGGTTTGAGTGGTAGGTCTTCCTTTTAGGGGGACACAGGATCTGGTTTCTTGCCCAGGTTGTTCTGTGGTTCACTGAAGGGTGGCCAGTGTGGCTGGGAGTCACCACCCTCTTTCCCTGAAACCTAATAGAAAAGACCCTCACCTCGGAGCCTCTTCAACCGTTTCTCCTTCCTCTTCTTGCGTACAACAAAGAGCAGGGCCACCCCCAGGGTGGCCAGGATGACAGGGCAGCCGATGGTGAACAACTTCTTCACATCGTCCCCTTCTCCTTGAGCAGACTTGATGGGTGGGATGGTGCCTGAGTGGGGCAGAGAAGAGAATCAAGGGATGCTATGAGCTCAGAGTCCCATGTGTGGGAAAGCCTGCTGATGAGATCTGTTGTTCTTGGTCTCTGATCTCCTGCCTTCCAATGCGTGCCTGCATTTTTTTGGTTATGTTTGTTTGTTTGTTTGTTTGTTTGTGTGTGTGTGTGTGTGTGTGTGTGTGTGTGTGTGTGTGTGTGTAGTATCCCTGTGAGGTAGAGACACCAGTTAGGTGCTCACCAAATACCATGCTCTTGTCTATATTATCCAGACTTTCTTGCAGCTAGCTTAGGGTCACATGACTAGTTGGAACAACAGACTGTAAAAAAGAAGTGATGATTTTTTTCCTTAGCTAGAGCAAAACCCTGGATTTGGTCCCCAATACACATGAACACATACATGCCCCTTCAAGGCAATTAAGAACTAATGTGCCTTTTTTTCTTGGGGAAGGGGCCACATTCAAGATGGTCTAGCTAAAAGGTGGTAGACAATAAACTCTCAGGACTTTATCAGAATAAGAAAATTTTCATTGGGTGGAGCCACCAGGCTCTTGGTATTTGTTACTGTGGAATAAACAGGCTGTCCATCTTGACCAGAGCACTCTGCTAGCAGAGTCCTGAGAGGGCAGGGCCTCAGTTCAATCTTGGCTTAACTCTCCCTCACCATCTCCCTGAAGCAATGGGTGGCAGGAACTCTGTCATCAAATACTTTGATCTGCCTGTTAGGACTGGCCACCAGTAGATGTGCCCACATAGCCACCTGCTACCAATGGCTGGTCCCTCTGTCCTTCTCCTTAGCTCTCTACCCTGGGTTTATTCCTGTCTGTTTCTATTTGTCCATCTCTTTAGAAGCCTCGGGGCTGTCCCATCCCATCCTTTCCAACTCACTGCCGTCGTAGTCCAGGGTGGCAAACTGGGCGGTCTCATTGCCACAGCCAGCGCTGTTGCAAGCCCTCATGCGGAGCTCATACCAGGTGGCCTCTCGAAGTTCTGTCAGAAACACCTCTGTGGAGCTGTTGGCCCGGACACCCTGCCAGGCCCAGGTCCCCTTGGGCCGGTACTCCAGGACAATGGCTGTGATGGGGCAGCCCCCATTGTTCCAGCCCTGCAGGTTAAGCCGAGCATGTGTGGAGTTGATGTGGGTGAAGAGGTGTTGGTCTTTACTGAAGGAGGGTTCTGGGGGACCGGAAGGGGAAAGAGAGGTTAGGGAACCCTAGAAAGAAGAGATCCTTCATCTGTCTGGAAAGGCTTTTCCTGGGGTGCCCCAGGAGTGGAGAAGTGAGAGGAAGAAAGACCCTAGGGTGAGGTCCCAGCAGCTGAGACTTGCAACAGGGGTGGCCCAGGAGTGGAGAAGTGAGAGGAAGAAAGACCCTAGGGTGAGGTCCCAGCAGTGATGGCGGGAGGTGGGAAGAAGGAAGAGTGCCAGCCCTCTAGCCCTCCTGGTAAGGAAGTAGGATCTTTCAAACAGTCAATCTTAATCAATGAATCAATAAATTAATTTGACAAGGTCTTAGGCAGCCCAGACTGGCCTCTAGCTCTCTATGTAGACAAAGATAATCTTGAATTTTCTGATTCTCTTGCTTCCACTTCCAAGTGCTGGGATTATAGTTTATGTGGTGCTAGGGGCTGAACTAGGTGGTCAGGCATGCTAGCTACATACCCCACCCCTAGTCCATATGGGTTTCTTCTGGTGATAATAGTATACCGAGATGCTCTAGTGACAGGAACAAGGTTGAGTCTCCTCCCTCTAGCCCCCTATGCATTTGGCTCCTCTTTCCCCATGATAGTCGTCCTCTGCCCCCTGATGTGGGCTCACCACCCCACCCACCTCCCTCTTGGGCCCTGCTCTTCATCACCACCCCCGACCCGGCCTCACCCCGCCCATGGGTCTTGGCTTCGATGATCTCGCTGATGCGCCCAGAGCCCACACTGTTCTTGGCTGCCAGCTTCACCTTGTACCATGTGCCACACTTGAGGCTGTCTAGCTTGAAGGAGCGCTCGCTGGAGCTGATGAACACATCCTTCCACTCTTCGCTGTTATCCACTGAGTATTGCAGCACAAAGCCTGCAGGAGGGGTTGGCTCAAGTGGGCAAAGCAGAGAAGGGCAGGGCAGCAGAAACCCAGCCTTGGCTCCAGCAGAGGTCATAGGGCTGGGCATATACAAACGAGATGCAAAGCCCGAGACATTCCATTCTAGTGCTGTGTGAGTCTGGGTCCCTCCATAGTTCTAGCATTACGTTTAGAGAGCTGGCAGGCCTAAGACACTGACTGTTCTATGAGGGGCAGGGAGTGTAACCAGCAGTACCCCATTTGGGAAGAGCTGTCTGGAAGTATACTCTTAGCCCCACCTTAGACTATTGAACCCTGAGCTCCTTCTTACAAGATCTCTGCTGAGTCACACATACTCTTGTTTGAGAGGCACTGATGTCATGTTTGTCTGCTTTGAAAGACTGGGAACCTAGGCCTGGAGAGGAAAGCTCTTTAGATGTGCTCCGTTCCCAGATGGATGGGACGGGAGGACTCTCTATGCACCTGGGTACCTCATGTTCTGACTCACCCTCCAGATCTTTCCTGGGGATTATGGGACCAAGTATTAGAAACAAGTGAAGCCCTTCTCTCACCCTGGGACTCTGGAATTTCCCCTCCTCCTGATCCAGACCCCTCCTTACCTCTGATAGAGCTGCCCCCATTGTCCCCTGGAATCCAGGTCAGAGTGATGGAAGAGGCAGAGGTTTTGGAGACAGTGAGGCGGGGCTGGTCCGGGGGAACTGTGAGGGAAAGCCACCAGCTGTCAGTGGAAAAGGTTAATCCCGTGCATGGCAACGATGGAGGTACAGAGGGTGATGATGGGATGGTACTGGCCCTTCCACACGGCTTTCCATCCCTCCTGCCTCCTCTCCTTTTCTACCTTGGTTCCACCAAGCTCTGCCTCCCCAACACCCAACGTTAGCTTTCTCGGTCATTCAGTCTCTTTAACAGGATGGACTTCCTGTCCCTGTTGCCACTTAAATCACCTGCTTTGCAGCAGAGTCTCACCTTGCACCAGAAGGTTGACGATGATGGTATCGAAGCCACCAGTGTTGGTGGCTGTGCAGGTGTAATAGCCCGAGTCCTCAGCCTTCACAGCGCGAAGCAGCAGTGTGCCATTTGTGTGGATGAGCCGGTGTCCATCCAAGGACACGGGGATTGCCGAGTCTTCACTGCCAGACGGGGAGGTGGCATGGGTTATGGCACAAACTCCCTAGTGCTGGGGCCCTCCCCCCAGTGTGGGGGAAAATGGAAGAGGGACAGGAGGAAGCTTGCAGGGGATCTTGGGTTCTTGGGCCTTTGGTCAGCACTTCTCAAGAATTTCCAGTGAGCCCTGTCTCTTCATCCACCCAGGAAGGTTATTGGCCAGAGGTGGGGAGAGGTAAACTCATATGAATAGTGTCATGTGCCCTGTAGGACTGCCATGAGGCAGAGTGATGACCAAACAGCATTGCATTTCTCAGGAGCCATACCACTCCTCCAGGGCCTGTCACATACCTGTCCTTGGTCCACTTGACAGCTGGGGCTGGATCTCCCACTGAATTGCAAGGCAGCCGGACATCCTTCATCCAGGGTGTTGTTACAGTGCCTCCAAATGAGATGATCTTTGCTGGGGCTGTAGGAAGGGGGACATAAGGACCTCTCTGGTTTTTACCCTTCACATTTCCATAGTGCCTTCCCCAGGGCTCCCCACATTTTCAATGCAAGTCAAGGGAGAGTTTTGGATAAACCGGCTGCTTTGGTTGAGGTGGTCCTGTGACAAAGTGAGGCCAGTGTGCCAGAGCACAGGACAAGAACTGACAGGACCTGGGGTCTGCTGGTTTTGGAGGAGATAGAGGGTGACAAGGCCTCCCAGAATTCTGGGCCATCTAGGTATTGATGGTCTTGTAGCAGGGGCAAGGCATACAAGGAGAAGGGCAAGTTGGGTAGGAGAGGCCGCGTGTACATGTGTGTAAGTATGTATTTTTGTGAGTTTTTTTTTATATAAGTGTGGTGGAGGTGTAGTGGTGTTCAGCTGTTCTACCTCATGAGATAGTTGTGTATGTATAGGAATGTACTGTATTTGATGCCTACAGGGGTGGGGTCAGACTTCTGCCAAGAGCTCAGGTCCTAGGACCTTGTCCTGAGAAGATGGCAGGCTCTAAGCTCCTTCCCTTCTGAAGAAGGTGAAATCTGGAGAAAGGGTTGATGGTATCCCGAGGAAAAGGAGGAAGGAAGGTGAGGCTGCTGAGACAGCTCTGTGCAAGGAGCTCTGACTCAGAGCTACAAGGGACAGAGCAGCACAGCACACCTCAACTGTCTTGGATGGCCAGGCCACACAGCTGGATAGAAGGCTGATAGAGCCTGATGGCTGCAAGTGTGAGTCCTTGGCTTACCACACCTCAGTTGGATGCTTGCTGGCTCTGCTTCTGTGGCCAGCAGGGAGGCTTCTCTCATCTCAGGGAGTGGGGCTCGGCCAAGGCAGGCCAGTCCTGGGACCCTGGCCTGGAGAGTCAGGTGAGCTTGGGGTTGACTGGGGAGGGGATGTGGCAGGAGAAAGGGCCGGAGACACTGATAGACTTGAAGCTCACTGATGCTAGTTCTTCTGCCCTTGGGCCAAGACGAGAACAGCCCACAGTTCCACTGTGAGTTCCTACAGACCACTCTTATGTCCAGATCAGAGATGGGAGAGGCCTGCCCTGAGAAGGCCTTGTTCTAGCCCAGAGCCTGCTGGTGGATAAAGGAGTGTTTCTGGTTGCATAATGAGGCTTTCTCTGGAGTCCCAAAAGCCCTGTGGAAGCATCAGTGTACCACATAACCAGAGAAGCCCCTCTTCCAGGAGCTGAGTACTAAGACCAATGTTCTGCTTTGGATGGGGGATGAAGAGGACTCTCTCAAATGGGGGTAGTTTGCTTCGTAAGCCAAGGTGCCTCTGTGAGAGTGGGCCTGACTGTAGCCTGTTGTGTGACTTTTCCAGAGTCAGGGGGCAGCAGAGGTCTATTCTTTGGTGGATGCAGAAGGGAGACCAGAGGCCAGCTCCTCACAAGCTGCAGTCATAGTGCTACCTGTTCTTCCCAAACAGACCCTGTTTGGGAAGAACCAGAATTCTGCAAACAAGCTTCTGGAAGTTTTCTCCCAACCCCTGCCCCAGGCCCAGGTCTCTTACCCTTGCCAGCAGGCTCGATGGTGACCTTCTCACTGCTGTTCCCCCTGCCTGCGGAGGTGACCGCGGCCACCCACAGCAGGTACTGCTGTCCCCGGTTCAGGTGGGCAATCCTGTAGAAGAGCTGTTCAGGACTCGTCTCGTACTCACTGGGAGCCTGTTGGGAGGTGGGAAGCCACACTGTGAAACAGAAGCCAGGCCTTGGCCCCCAGCCTGCCATTGTCCTCGGAGCCTTGGGCTGGAGCCAGGACTCTGTGCAGCATGTTTTTTCCTGGTCTGAGCACGGCAGTGGCCAGCATCTGTGCTGGGCTCGACCCTGGGAGCCGATAGTGCCAGTCCTGCAGTATTTCTGGGTCAACCCCGGTTTACCTCTCTGAGTTCTATAGGCTTTAGCATCATCGGCTACAGGCCAACAGGTATAGGTATTTTGAGTGAATGATGAGGGGCAGTCAGAGAAAGGAGAATGGGGTCCCAAGAAAAGCACGTGCAAAGGAAGGAGTTCTGTGAAGCCAAATGACCGCCTTTGCCTTGTTAGGGCTGCAGTCAGCCCGCAGCCTGTCCCCTGCTCAGCCACCTCCCAGTCCTGCCACCTAATTACACTCTTTCCTTCCCAGGAAGGGGTAGAGAGGCAATTTTACTGGGCACACTTTATTAACGATTATTAGTGGTATAGATCACCATATATATTTGTAGGTTACATAAATCTATAACATATTTTTAACCAAATGACAGTTTTGACAAGTTGCCAACAAAACAATATCAGATCCCAGTGGTTTTACCAGTTGCTTTGATGAAAAGATTATGTTGCCTTGGAAACCAGAGGCTCAGATATTGAAATGAATTTGAGAAGGCGCTTTTGATAAGCGCTAGTTTGTAGACCTCCTGTCAGCCTCTTCCCTGGCATCGGCCGGATGGGGCTGACTTTCATTTTATTTTATTTTATGTTTTTTGACCAGCTGCAGGGAATGGGGGAGACGATAGCACTAGGGCCCCTCTGAGATCAGGGCACAAGTCCAAGGAGGGGAAACAGTCCCTGGAACAGATGGGGGCCCTGAGGCCAGAGGGAGCTAGTAATTAGTTATCTCTGCAGTCGTGAGATCTTGCACACAGGCTCTCTTGCACATGGCTGTGTGGATGCACACATGTGCCGAGAGATGGATGTCACCGAGGGACATTCTCCATAGCCAGTGAGAGAGCTGAGGAGCCCAATGACTTGTGACAGGAAAAAAGAAACCTCCTCTTTTTTTTGGACTCAGGTCCTCTGAAGGGAAATGTGTACCCTCATGACAGGCAGAGATCTCTTGGCAGTATCCCTCCTGCCTTCCTGGGGGCTGGGTGTGATGCTCTGTCTAACCTTGAACACAATTCCTGTTGGGAACAAGTGCAGAGACACTCTGAACCCTTGTAAGCTTGGGTATCTGGGGACTGGTGGGGTTCATGCCAGTGCATGACTCTAGGATGGTGCGATGGCTTCTATGCTTGGTGTCCTTACCAAACATGTAACCATGTGGCCAGTTCACTCAGAGACTTAATTCTTTTGCAAATTAGGAATCATACAATCTTGCCTACTCTGGGCTGTGAATCACCCTCAGGCAAAGAGTGCACAATTATTTGAAAATCAGAATGCAGTTCCCTGGGCTCACTTTCTGTGGATGTAGAGGTGTGTGTGTGTGTGTGTGTGTGTGTGTGTGTGTGTGTTCCTGCTTGTGGGTGCATGTGCTTGTGTGTTCTTGAGAATACATTTGTGTTTACACAGGGCAGGAAAGTTTGTCGTTCCCTTGGAGATCTTTTGTGTTTATTTGTGCGTGTTTGAGTATGTGCACCTACATGTCTGTGTATTTGTGCATTTGTGTGGGAGTATGTGGGTGTGTGGAGGTCAGAGGCCACTATTTGGCTATTTCTTTTTTTCTCAGAAACTGTTCACATTTTTGTTTGCTTGTGTTTTGTTTTCTTCTCTTCGGTAGAATCTCCCAATGGAACCTGTGCTTCACCATTAGCCTCAGGTGGCTTGTTCTGGAACCCAAGATTCTGCCTGCCTTCACCTCCTCAGTGCTAGAATTGTAGGCACCATGATGGCTGGCTTTTTAGGTGGGTTCTGGGAATTAAACTCATGTTTCTTATGTGAACAGCAAGAACTATTTTATACTCAGAGCCATCTCCCCAAGCCCTCACTTTTGTTTTTAGAGACAGGGTTTCACTCTACAGTACAGACAGTCCTGGAGCCATGATGTAGTCAAAGTAGGCCACGAATTGGTGATGAACTTCCTGCCTCAGCTTCCCCTGATCTAAGAATATAGGTACTGAACCTCCATACCAGAGAAATATCAGTATGCCACCAAGATTCCAGTACCTTCTTTTTAATTTGGACTCCCTACAAATCCCTGGAAATTATTTTAAAACCTTACTGTTATATCTCCTAAATAAGACTTGGTGGATAAGAAATTATAGAAAAAAGGAAACCGAGACAGCAAAAAAAAAAAAAAAAAAAAGAACAGTAGGCAAACAATTATAAGACTTTCTAATCATAGAGGCAAAAGTCAAAAGTGGAAATGATTGATAAATTCAAATTCTCTAAAAAATATTATCACACATCAAAACAAATTCAAAAGGCATGGATTGATGGCTACTTGTAATAGAAAATGGTTATTGTCGCTAATATGGAAAGAGCACTTACAAATAATTAAGAAAAGGGCAAGCAACCCAAATAGCAAGAATGGACATAGACTTTGAATTGAAAGTGACTCAAATAAAAGGACAATCAATAGGCATTTGCAAATAAACAACCTAACAAGTAATCAAAGAAAGAAAATTTAAAATCAGACAACTATTAAAAATAAAATCCAAGTGGCAAAAATGAAAACAAACCCCACAGAAACTTTGAAATCACTATAGATTAAAAAACCTGGGTGCTCCATGGCACGTGCATATGCCTTCATGTTGCTGGGAAGGAACTTGTAAGCATGGAATATAGAGACTTTGTGGCCTGGGAGCAACATATGTCCCTGAATACTTCATGAAGAAAGTTCGTAGAAGAATTATTTATAAGGGTGAAGTGGAGCAATACTTATAGGCAGGAGGGAGGCCTTGCGAAATAGTGGTCATGCAAAAATGACCACTCAAGACTGTCTTTTGAACATCTGATAGGCTGGAGACAAAGCTTAGCTCGTTTGGTAGGCTGCTTGTGTAGTGTACACAAAGCCTTGGTTCAATCCCTAGCACTGTGCAATGTGTAAATTTCTCTCTCTCTCTCTCTCTCTCTCTCTCTCTCTCTCTCTCTGTGTGTGTGTGTGTCACATGCATGCCATCCCAGTACTTGGGAGGTGTGGAGAGATCCAACGTTTTTGTTTTTTGTTTTGAGACAGGGTTTCTCTGTGTAGTCGTGGCTGTTCTATAACTCACTCTGTAGACCAGTCTGGCTTCGAACTTAGAGACCCACCTGCCTCTGCCTCCTGAGTGATGGGACTAAAGGCATGGTGGCATCAAAAGTTTAAGATCATCTTTAGAGCCTGGGATACATAAAATCTTGTCATCCGTTCCCCCTAAAAAGTCAAGAAGAAATCCCACAACCACCACAAAATATACAGAAAAGAACCTTCCCAATTTATATTTAAATGATTATGTAATATGTAAAAATTTTATTTTAATATTATATAAAAAACTCCAATTAATGTGCAGATCAAAGACTAGAAGGCTAGGCTCACTGCTGTGTAGCATGCCTGCTGGTTAGCACTTGGGAGGTGGGGGCAGGGAGACCAGGGTGACATAGGGAGTGTGAGGTCAGCCGAGGACTCCATGAGGCCCTGTCTCAAAACCTCCTTCCAAAAACTGGAGGGCTGTTATTAAAATACCATCAGTGCTCATGTTTAGGCAGTGAACACAATAACATATGTTTTTTTAAAATCTTTTTCTGAACTTTGTGGAATTTCTTTATACACACACACACACACACACACACACACACACACACACACACACACACACGAGTGGTAGGTAACACAGTCATTTGGAGTGTGGACTGTCTGTGCAGAGTGACTTTTAAGAGGTGTTGCCTAGTTGGAGGGAGTTAAGTCATTGGGAGCATGTCCTTTCTTTCTCTCTCGTCTTTGAGACAGGTTTTGCTATATAGGCTGGGATAAATGTCTCTCCTTTGCCTCCCAGCCATGAGCACCCATGGTAGTTTGAATGTGATTGGCTGCCATAATCTCGTAGGGAGTGGCACTATTAGTGGTGTGGCTTTGTTGGAGTGGGTACGGCCTTGTTGGAGGAAGTGTGTCACTGTGGAAGAGGGCTTTGAGGTTTCCTATGCTTGGAATACTCTCCAATGAGTCAGTTGACTTCCTGCTGCCTGCAAAGTGTAGGACTCTCAGCTATTCCTCCAGCACCATGTCTGCCTGCCTGCTGTCATCATGATAATGGAATGAACCTCTGAAACTGTAAGTGAGCCACCCAATTAAATGTTTTCCTTTTGAGAGTTGCCACTGTCATGGTGTCTCTTCACAGCAATAGAAACCCTAACCAAGACAGCCCCTTTCTCTATCACACACTTACTCCCTGCCGCGATGAGCTGCCTCACTACAGACATAAAGGCCATGGAGCGAACTGACCGTGATTGAAACCTCCGAAGCTGTGAGCCAAAACAAGCCTCTCCTCTTTATAAGTCGATTATCTCAGTTATCTGTCATAGTAATAGAAAGCTGACTGACATAGTCCCAGAGTCCTCAGTAGTAGGCGAGGGATGGGGGCCAGAAGCTCTGTGCTGAGGCCTGGAAGAGAACCCCAACCAGTCACTGGCCACTTCTAAGCCTGAGTTAGTCAGGAGGTCTCCACAGACCGGCCCCTTTGAAAGAGTTTGTTATCAGAATAGGAAGTGACTATAAAGGCCCAGCCAGAACATGCTACTTCCTCCCATCAGTCATGAAAGGGAACATGTCACTTGTGTCAGGCTTTGGGGTGTTCAGGCTGCTTGATATTGAGTCATCAAACATGTCTCAGTGACTCTGATATCCAGTCTTGATAAATGCTCCACAGCTGGGGATCCAGAGATGAAAAGACACTGGTCCTGTGGTCCTTGGAGCCTTAGAGACCAATGCAGGATCTATGCCAACAGTTAATGTCCATAAGGCAGTTGGGTGATGGAGAAATAGGCCCCGGGAGGACTCAACAAAGGCAAAGGGGTGGTATGAAAAGGAAGCTGAACAGATTGGTATTGTGAGAATGGGGGGGGGGAAGGGGAGGGGAGAGAAAGGGGACAGAGGATACTCTGTACTGAAAGCATTGATTGGTCAATCCCAAGGGTCTGTGCTAACTTAGAGCAACTAGTGTGTGCCACCTGGTGTGTGTGTGTGTGTGTGTGTGTGTGTGTGTGTGTGTGTGTGTGTGTGTACCTGCTGGGTGACAGTGACCCAGCAGGAGGGCAGTGTTCTCAGGTAGCATCTTCAGGCCATGTTCCAGCAACTCCTCTCCCAGACACACACTCTACAAAAAGTGCCTGCCCAGAAGCACCATGTGATGAGCTCAAAGAGAAGAGCACACCTCCAAGCCTCCACCTAGGATGTCAGTGGGCAGCATGACACAGAAACTCGGGAATACACACACATGTATACTCTAAAGCCAAAGCAATGAGAAGAATCTCTACCTGCATACCACAGCATGGACGAAAACCACAGACCCAAAGCAGGGCAGAGCCACAGGAGTCAGATAAATAGCAGGTCTCGACCTACGCTGAGGGCTGCAAGAAGCAGTGCTCATCCAAGCCATTGAGCCGGGAGAGTGGAGGGAAACAAGGTAACGGAGAAGCATGAGAGGGTCTGTAGAGGTGCTGTGATGTCCTGTGTCCTGCTCTGAGTGTCACCATATGGGTGTGGTGCAGGAATTATGTTGTATGTGGCAGTGCCCTTGAGCTTCTTCTCTGGGAAGAGACTCCTGGCCTCCCTGGTGAAGAGCTTTGGTGCCCATTCCAGAATGGTAGTTCAAAAAGCCCACAGAAAATCAGAATTGGGGAAGGGTGACAGCGACCCAGCAGCTACAGGCAGCATTCGTGGCCCAGAGCTTGTGCAGATTTGGAGCTGATGGTGACCTGCCATTAGAGAGGCTAGAGCTTCCTCCCGCCCCTTGCCCAGCCCTAAGCCTCTCTCCCTGATGGTTCCCAAAGTGTTCTCACAGACTGCCCCAAACCCTGAGGCTTCTGAGGGCAGAGGTTTTCTTCCCATCCAAGGAATAGGTGAGGTGGAGAGAGGCCACATAGCTGGACTCCATGTCCAGACGGCTGGGGATCAGAAAAGAGAAGGGGAGGAAGGATATTATGGGATATGGCCATATGCGATGCTTTCCCCATCCTCTCTACCTTCTCCGGGGACCCCTGAACTCTAGGTGGAAGTCAAGGCTGACCTCTGTGATGCACCTCAGCCCGGGACCCCCATCTCCCAGGATCAGGGAAGACACTGTACACTGTTAGGCTCTTGTCCCTGCCGATGCCCTTCCTCCTGTACTGTTCCCACCTTGCTCCACACTATGGCAGTCATCTGCAGCAGGTCCCCAGCAGTGTCTCCAAACCTAGAGGACCCTGGTGAAAGGCCATGCATTCCCAGAGTCCCTAGGAGTGCCTGGGGTCAGCAGGTCAGAAGAGCAAAGCTGTGTGTCCCCCCTCTTTCTGTCTGCTTGGCTGTGGCTCACATGATTCAGGAGGGGCTCCAAAGCTGTGATAAGCTTGCAGCCTTTCGGTAGATACCTGGTCCACAATGGATAGCATGCACGGTTTCAGCCATTTTGGGATAACTAGTACCCAGACTTGAAAAGAAAACCTTTTTATTAAATATATTTATATTTGTTTATTTGGGAGAGGTGTATACATGCCATGGTGTGTGTGTGTGTGTGTGTGTGTGTGTGTGTGTGTGTGTGTGTGTGTTGGGGGGCACAGAAAAGCAACTTGCAGAAGTAGGTTCTCTTTCTCTCTCTGTGTGTCTCTGTGTCTCTGTCTCTGTCTCTGTCTCTTCTCTCTCTGGTTTTTTGAGACAGGGTTTCTCTGGGTAGCTTTAGAGCCTGTCCTGGAACTTGCTCTGTAGACCAGGCTGGCCTCAAACTCACAGAGATTCACTTGCCTCTGCCTCCCAAGTGCTGAGATTAAAGGTGTGTCACCACTGCCCGGCTTAATGGGTTATCTTCTAATGTGTGGATCCCTGGGCCTGATTAGATTCAGGTCCTCAAGTTTAACAGTCGACATCTTTACCCAGTGAGCCATCTTGTCCAGCGTCCATTCTGGACTATGATTCACAGGGAAGCATAGACAGAAAAAGCACACATGGTTTGACCTGAAAGCTGACTGATGTGTCATCCCAACAAGATCTGCTCCCTGCTGCCCTCACCACTTACCGGCTGGCCGGACCCGGGGCTGGAACAGAAGATGGTGTACTTGCGAATCACCCCATTGGGCTTGGTTGGGGGCAGCCAGGACACGACCACACTGCTAGCTGATGAAGGGACAGCTTTGATGCCAGCAGGAGGACCTGGAACTGAGCAGGGAGAAGACCTGGTCAGTCTAGAGAAGACAGAGCTCAGGCTTGGGAAACAGTGGTGGAGGAGGAGAGTGGGTGAGTCTGGAAGAGCTCCTTATGGTTGGGGGAGACCCCAGAGCTGTAGGTTAGAGTAGGAGGGCCCAGCATGGCCTACAGGCAGGAGGGTAGGCTGATCATGAGGTGGTATGGCAGGCTCTGAGATGGAGGCTGACAAAGGGGCAGCCTCATGAGTGTTTGGCCAGGTGAGACATAGGTAGATCATAGAGAAATGGAACACAGGAAGAATCGTCTGTTCCCTTTGACCTTAATCCTTGTACCCCAATGCCATTACTAATGACAGACCTGTGCTTAGGACTCCAACCCACTGACACTGGTTACCTTGCTCTTTTAGGCCTGTGAGTTCCTCTAGCTTGTGACTGCAAACTGCTTTTTGCTGTGGGCCCAGGGTATTGTCTTGTGTACTGGTAAGGTCCTTTCTGTTTTCAGGGAAGTCTATCTGGAAAGTGAACTCAGAAATCCACTCTAGAGGTTCATATAGGCTCAGCATGGCATGGCCCTGCCTCTTTTCTGCGCTCTCTCTCTCTCTCTCTCTCTCTCTCTCTCTCTCTCTCTCCTACTTCTCTGTTCTTTCCCCAGCCCACCATTTTTACGTTCTTTGAGAGTCAGCAATTGTATCCTATCCAATTTTTTACCTTCCCTCCCCTGGGCCTCAGTGACGCCATCCATGTGGAGATAAGAATCCCACTAAAAGGTTATGGTGAGAATTAATGTTAAGTAAAATGAAGCACCCAGAACAGTGGTAGTGCACGGAAGACCCGCAATAGATGTCAAGAGTCACTGTTTTTTTTTTTTTTTAATTTATTTATTAGTTCTAGTTAGGGAACAAGCTTGTTTCACATGTAAGTCCCTTCTCCCTCTCCCTCCCCTCCCCCCATCCCTCACTCCCCAAGCAGGGTAGGGCCCTCAACGGGGGCTCTGCAAAGTCCACTAAATCTTCCTGTGCTGGTCCTGGGCCCTTCCCCATGTGTTCAGGGCCGGAGTGTAACCCTTCACGTGGGATGGGCTCTCAAAGTCCCTTCTTGCGCCAGGGAAAAATACTAACCCACCACCAGAGGCTCCCTGGAGTGCAGAGGCCTCCTTATTGACATCCATGTTCAGGGGTCTGGATCAGTCTTGTACTGGCCTCCCAGACAGCATCTGGGGTCGATGTGCTCTCCCTTGTTCAGGCCAACTGTTCCTGTGGGTTTCTCCAACCTGGTACAGACCCCTTCGCTCTACATTTCTCCCTCTCTTCAACTAAATTCCCGATTTCAGCTCAGTGTATATCTGTGGGTGTCTGTCTCTGTTTCCATCAGCCACTGGATGAGGGCTCTCCTTCCTGGGTCGGTCGGCGGAAAAGCAAGAGTCACTGTTTTTTGTCTTCTCTCTGTCAAATCAGTTTGTGAGCCATGGTGATTTCCTCTCCCTACGTCAGTGGTTTGGGACCTACTAAAGCGATACTTTTCAGCAGCAGCATGCATCCAGGGTGGAGCCCAGAGGCCGAGAGGCATCCTTGGCTTCACCCTGCTGAGCTGCAGTATCTTGTGTCAGGATCTCCTGTGGTTGTGAGGTGCAAGGGTGTATGGATGACTGTGGGGTAAGGTGGTCTTTGTACATTTTCTGCCTGTTCCTGAGAAAGGTGTGTTAAATTCACAATTGTGCATTTTTCTATTTTTCCATCTGTCTTTCTGTCATCTGTTTTTATTATTTGATTGACTAGCTGCCACTTATCTACCATCATGTATGTATGTATGCATGCATGTATATGTCTACCTGTCATCTATTCATCTACAGTCTCTCCTTCCCTATGTATCTATGACATCTATCTATCTATCTATCTATCTATCTATCTATCTATCTATCTGTCATTCATCTGTCTGTCTGTCTGTCTATCTACCTGTCATTCATCTATCTATCTATCTATCTATCTATCTATCTATCTATTTATCACCTACTTATCTATCTGTTTTTTTGAGAAGGTTCTCATTAGTTGGCCTTGAATTCATGATCCTCCTGTCTCTGCCTTCCAGGTGCTAGGACTACAAGTGTGTGCCATCATGTTTGGTTTGTTTGAATGTGTTTCGAAGTTACATTTGGCCATATAAATTCAGAGTTTTCTCTGCTTAGTAGATAGAGTCTTGTAACCATGTGCCCTTCTTCTTTTGTCTCCTAGGTCTAATATTAAAATTCCAGTTTCAGACAAGTGGCATGCTGTAATTTTTGTTTCTCTATCATTTTATTTTGAACTTATCTATGTATTTTTTTTTATCTTGTGTGCTCGAGTATACACATACATATGCCACGGTTCATGTGGAGAGGTCAGGTGTCCATCATCACCCTTAACCTTGTTTGAAACAGGATCTTTCTCCTGTATTTCACTGCCTCATATGCCAGGATAACAGGCCCACCAACTTCTGGGCTTCTCCTCTGTTTGCCTCCCATCTTATTGCAGGAGCTCTGGGATTGTGGGTGAACTATTTTACATGGGTTGTGGGGATTCAAACTTAAGTCTTCACTGGTACTCGGCAAGTATTTTACCCAGCAAGCCATCTTTCCATCCCCTTTTATACACCCTTATGCTTTGGATGCCTTCTGCACAGTATGAAGTTAGATTTTGTTATTAGAAAGGCTTTATCTTGTAATTGGGGAATTTACTCAGTTTATCTTTAATGCAACAGCTGGTATATTTGTGTTTAAACTTATAAACACTTCCTGCTTGTTTTGCTTCCTGTGTTTTTCTTTTTCTTTGCTTTTGTGACTTCTTTTTGAATTAAGCATTCTGAAAATTACACTGCTTGAACTGAAGAGATGGCTCAATGGTTCAAACACTTGTTGCTCTTATAGAGGACAAAGGTTCAATTTCTAGCACCGCACGGTGTTTCACAACCATCTATCTGTAACTCCAGTTCCAGGTGATCCAATGCCCTCTTCAGACCTCTGTGAGCATCAGTTATGTACATGGTGCACATATATACACATAGGCAAAATATTCATACACATAAAATAAAACAAATTTTAAGAAGAAAATTGCATTTCCTACTAACCAGGTAATTACATAGCATTGCATTATTTTCAGTGGTTATTCAAATAGACCCCAACATGATTTTCTTTTTTAAAAGATAAGGTTTCATTTCTTTAACCCATACTGGCCTCAAACTCAGGTTCCTCCTCCTTCAGTCTCCTAAGTGGTTTACAGGGTTAGTACACCTGACCACTGAGTGAGTCTTTAATTATCCAAGTTCAGAATCGGTTGGCACTTTTCTTCTCAGACGATGAAAAGGCATCAGAGATTTCACAGACTCTCTTCCAATTTGTATGTCATTGTCGAGTATTTCAGTTCTGTATATACATCATCATTATGATCATTTTATACAGTCAGTATTAATTTAGGATGACCCATATGTTCACCATTTAATTGCTTTGTTTTCCTAGCTGCATCACTGAGCTTCCATCTGGGATCATTTTCCTTCTGGGCAAACGATAATACCTTTGAATACTTCTCTAGGGCAGGTATGTTGGTGATAAATTCTTCCAGCCATTGTTTGAATGACGATGTCTTTTTTAAAATTTGTTATGTTTTTTTAGATTTCTTTCTTCCATTTTATGTGTATGAGTGTTTTGCCTGCCTGTGTATGTGTACCATGTGTATGCCTGTTGCCTGTAGAAGTCAGAAGAGGGCATAGGATCCGGAGATACCGATGATTGTGAACCATGATGTGGGTGTCGAGACCCAAATCCAGGTCCTCTGCTAGAGCAAAAGTACTCCTAACTGTTGAGCCCTGTATCCAGTAGTCCGAATGAACATGTCTTCATTTCATTTTACTCTTGAGGCATAGCCTGTGTGAAACATCACAGGTCATAGCGATTTTCTTACATATAACCAATACTTTTTTAAAAGCTTGTTTTCAGCTTCCATCATTTCTGACAAGTTGGCTGACAATCTTATCATTTCTTCTTTCCAGATTTTCCTCCCTTCTGGTTGCTTCTAAGATTCACTCATTCTCTCTCCCTCCCTCCTTACTTCCGTCTCCTGCTTTGTAATACCGTGCTTAGATGTGTATTTACTTACCATCTACAGAGTTAGAACATCTTGACTTTGTGGCTTGATAGAGTTTATCATCTTTAGAGATTTTCAGAATATTTTCTTCTGCTCAGTTCTCTTTCTCTTTTCTTCTGGGATGTCTTCTGCATTTCTATACCCTTGATACTCAGAATAGTCCATCAACTAGCAGTTGGGAACATGTTAGACACTGGAAAACCTCAGGTTCTACCCTTGACTTATTGAACCTGGATTTTAACATGATTCCTAATTGATATGTTTGCATACTAAAGCTTAAAGGTGACTAATTAGAGATAATTTCTCCATATGTCTTTCTTGTTCATTTTTACTTTCTAGTCCAGTGGTTCTCAACCTTCCTAGTGCTGTGACCCTTCAATACAGTTCCTCATGTTGTGGTGACCCACAGCCGTAAAGTTATTTTTGTTGTTACTTTGCTACTGTTATGTGTTTTCTATGGTCTTTGGAGTCATGGTCTATCTGTGTTTCATCTGTTTATTTTCTTTTGCCTTATCTTCCAATTCAAAATTTATCTCTTTAGCTGTGTCTAATGTACTTTTAAACTCAGTGACTGAGTTCTTAATTTTGGTATTAGTTTAATTTTTTTCATTTGATAGTTTCATTGTAATTTTTCAGCCTTTTCAAGCATAATTATCATAAAGTCCATGTTTGGTCATTTCAATTGTGAAAACTATATGATTCTTTTGTATGCTTTTCTTGATGGCTTTTGTTTATTTGTTGATCCTGTCCCATTAATTTTTATTGTATACCAGACATCATACTTGTGAAACTGTACCAATAATGTGAAACCTCAGGTGCTAACCATCTCCCCAAAGAGAAGATTCATCCTGGACACTAGCAATGTGGGGTCACTTCAATCCAGATTATAGGCCTGAGAGAATGCAAAGTTGAGCTGTGTGCACTTGGCTCATGTTTACTCCTGGACTCAAAGGGTTGATTGTACTTCAAGGTTTTGATTTAAGGAGAATGGGATTCATCATTCCCATTTCAACTCCTCAGCAGGCTCTGGTCTCTAGTTTGTATTCTTCTAGGACTATTCAGTGTCTCGGTCACTGTCTCAATATTCAGAAAATGTCATTTAGGGAAAGAGCTGCTTCACACCAGCTTCCTTCCAGAGTCCTGATTTTCCCTGGGGTCCTGACCCAGCAATTCACTCTCCTGTCAACAGTATGATAATCTTTACCCACACATTAAAAAAAAAATCACTAGTAGTTTCTAGTTGCCTTCAGCAGGGAAGGTAGGTATGAGTCTCCTGGCCCACAGCTCCTCTCAACTCACCCCTCCTCCCCATCAGCTGCTGCCCTAGCAGAGAAGCTTTGCTAAGGATTTCCCACTGTTGTTACTTCACTGCAACCAACAAGGGTTATCATCTCAGAATGGCTCTAGTCCTGCTCCATCCTTAGCTAAAAGGCCTTTAAAATGGTCTTGTATGTAGCTTGACTTTGCTTTGGTTTCCACAGGGAAGGTGAGGAGTGGACAAAATGCTTTGTAGTTCAAAAACTGAGTCCAACCAAGACAGCCTGAAACTAAGCACAAACTGAGTTCTGTACTTGGTAAGCAAATGCAACTTCTATGTTTATACTTTAGTCTTCTTTCTTTGTAATAATTACTTTACATTTGCTTTTTGTTTTATACATATGAATGTTTTACCTGTGTGTGTATGCATGTACACCATGTATGTGCAGTGCCTGCAGAAGTCAGAAGAGATCATTGGATCTCCTGGAACTGGAGTACAGTTGTGATGCCATGTAGATGCTGGGAACTGGACGGTACCTCTACAAGAGAGCATGTACTCTTAATTGCTCAGCTGTGTGCCAGGGAGTTATGGGCCAGGCCAACTTCTGCTTCAGTGGTCTCCCAGACTTGTGCAGTTCTGGGCCCAGACTTGTGTAGTTCTGGGCCTCAGTTTGAAGTTTAACCCCTTCCCTATTCATCCCTTCCAGGGTTGACTCAGCCTCCAGCCTGCATTTGCTCACACTATATTCTTGAGTTTGACCTGAATTCTGCTCAAGGAGGAAGGGTCTAGTGATCTCAGCTCTGTATGGAGGCCTATCCCACTTTTCTTCCAGTGAGTTCAAGGCCTGGACCACACTGGGGCCTTGGTGGGATGACAACTAAGTCCTTAACCCTTGTTGTGCTAGGTGGCATTCCCATTCCCATACCAACCCCAACATCCATGCCTAGAGGAAACTGGGCTGTGTCCAGCAGGAGAGCAGATGCTTCAAAAGGATGCCTTGTGGGCAGGGCTGGGAAGAGAAATGCCAGGCTGGTGACTCGGTGCTTCAGAGAGCAGAGTGGTAAGGGAGGAGACAGTTGCTTAGCTGTTCCCACATCCGTCCCAGAGCATGTCAACAAGCTCCAGGGTCAGAATGTTTGGAGGATAGCCACACCCTCCAAACCAACCTCCAAGGGCTCAAAGGGACAGGAGAAAGAACGGTGATCTGCTCTTGTCTTGACCCTGGGATAGGAGCTGGAAGCAAGAAGCCTGTATGTGGGGTGTGCTCCCAGGAAGTTGGTTCCTGAGGGCAGAGTGGGAGGTCAGTCCTGGACTCACCATCTTCCTTGGTCTGGATATAGAGCACACTGCTGCGCACACCATCCCCAGCCTGTGTGTAGGCTAGCACCTGGACGCTGTAGTTGGTGAATTTCTCCATACCCCGCAGCTCCACTCGCTCTCTCGTGGTGGTGACATTCTGCATCTCGCCCCACTCTGTAGAGACAGGCCTCTAGTCATGAGGCTGGCCCCGCCATGCTCCCTGCCTCCCTCCCAACCTGGGTTCAGACTTCTATTCTATAGGGGTGAGGACTAGATGGTCTTCTGCAAGGCAGCAGATTGTCCCTAAGCCATGTCTCTCCCTAAGTGCCTAAGCATGTGCTGGTCTTGAACCCCAGTTGACCTTATACCAACGTCTACTTGATGCTCTCTCTTAAAGAAAAATTCATCTTTTTATCTCTCTGAAGTATGCACCCTCCTGCTCTCCAACTCCCCCCTTCCTTAGTCCACTGGGGACCTGTCATTCTGTCTCCACTAAGAACTTCTTGTAGATCCTAAAGAAGTATGTAGGGAAGGTGGTATGGTGGTACATGCCTTTAATCTCAGCCTTCAGGAGGCTGAGGTAGAAGGATCTCTGGGACTTTGAGGCTAGCCTGGGCTACACTAGCCAGGGCTACATAGTAAGACCCTGTCTAAAAAGAATAGTTTATGACAAGGGTCCCATGGAGGAGGCCACAGAAGCAAAAAGGAAAAAGAGAGGGGAAGGCTTCTGAGCCTTTGTGGCAACTATGTGCAAGACTGGCCTAGACACAGATGCTGTGGACGGGCTTTGTAGAGATGAGTGACTGCAGATCAGCTCTCAGCATCACACTGGTAACCAGGTGCAGGCAAAGGTCTCATAGCACTGGCTAGGTGGCAGTGCAGTGTGTAGGGTCCAGAGTGTGATAACACCATGCCCAGATGGGATGTAGAGGCCTGAGGACAGGAAGCAGGGCAGACCTCTCTGGGGCACATAGCAAAACCTAGTAAGAGGGCAGATTGACTAACAGCCTGACCAGAAGTCTTTGGAGAGTAAAGAGGCCAATGTTTTCTCTGAGGGCTGGATAGGAAAGCATGTTGCATTGGAAAAGAGCAAGCAAGTTCTGGAAGGAGCATTATACTGACACTGTGTAAGGGTCACTTTTTTTTTGAGACAGGATCTCACAGTGTAGCTCTGGCTGCCTCTGCCTCCAGAGTGCAGGAATTAAAGGCATGCACCACCATACTTGGCTGGCAGGGTGACCCGGGATCTCATATCAAAAGGACATGAGAAACTTTTGAAGGTTGAGCCCTAAGCTTTGGTAGGAGAAAATGGATCAGGGATGTCCTTCCAGCAGATTTCAGGTTGGGAGGGAGGCAGCTGTGACCTGGATAGGTGGCTGTGAGCTGCACTCCCAGGTCCTTCGGAAGGGAGGGTGCAGGAGCCTGGGAGGCAGAATGTTTGGGACTGGGCTACAAACTCATTGCAGGCTCCTGGGCTTCACTGAGGTGAGGAAAGCTTTTTGTGTGCACAGCTGGGGATGCAGGCCTCCAGCTCTGCATCCTACAGACTTCCCGGACACTGGAAGGCCTTTGTGTACACCACTGGACATGAGAGTAACACATTTGTCGGGGATCTATAGACCTGTCTGCATCTGAGGCAGAGAAGGCATCCTCAAGGCATCTCTTCTACTTGTCTCTCACTATCCTCACTCTACTGTGAGCTCTGCCCCTCCCCTCATAGGACTTGGGTTGCTGCTGCAAAAACTCACATCTTACTGCCCACGTGGCTCCATCAGGGTTTGGTCAAGGGATAGCTCCTCTAGGTTTGGATAAGCCTGTTTCCTCTCTCACCCCTCCAAGCCTAGGTGATGACAGCTTCCTGAAGGTACCAATCCTGGCTACTCTCTCTCCCCTCCTTCCACTGAAAGTAACCCCTCAACACACATGTGTGTGTCACCTGCTCCCTGCCTGATATGGCCATAAAGTCCTACTATTAACATGTCAGAGCAGCAAGTGTGCTCCAGTGCCTGATGACTCCTATGCATGCTATGGTCTAGGTGTGGCTAGGCATCTCTTCTACTTGTCCCCCACTGTCCCTCACCAGGGAGGTGGCCATGTGTGTGACCTCTGGCTCTGGTCCTAGGCTAACAAGAACACATGCAAGTGGACCCTCACTGTCACACCACACCCTTGTGGCCTCCATATGTGTGCAGAGGGGGCTGTGCTTGTACTTGACACACTGCTGGAAGCTGTTCAACTCTAACAAAGCCTGGGACAGATCCCAATAATGTGAGTCTGTCAGCCTGGACCCAGCCATTAAGCCCAGAAGACTCACCCCCATCAACGTAGAGTGACCAGAAGATGACCCGGTAGCCTTTGAGGACACCATTGAGGGTGCTTCGTGGGGGCTCCGACCAAGAGATGACAGCCACATCAGAAGTGATGGACAGGGCTCGGACATTCTCTGGGGGTTGGCTGGGCACTGCAGAGGATGGCAGGAATCAAGAGCTAGTCAGTTAGGGTATGAGTGACAATATAATGTGTGTGTTTCATACTGGGTCCTAGTTGCTTGATCATAGGGATGTAGAGTTAGACAAGCAGAGGAACTGTCTGAATCAGAGGTCTGGGAGTTGGGCTGCCATTCAAGTCTCCTCTGCTTCAGTCTGAAGCAGCTAGATATCTCTCCAGTCTCACCCTACCCTGGCTCTTTGGGGGCAAGGTGGTCCAGGTTCTGTTAGATTCCCGAGAAGGGGATGAACTTGGGCATAGTCCCAGCATCTCCTCAGTAGGCCATGACAGTCAGTGAGCTCACAAGATGAGTGTGGTGGCTTGGGAGGCCAATCAAGTCCCAGGGTGGTTGTAACTCAGTATCTAGCGGAGGGCTGCCAGCCCCTCCCTTGGTGCTCACTGACCATAGAGGATCTGAAGCCAGGCCTGGCCTGGGGATTCCTGAATTCTGGGGCTAAGCCAAAGGGAAAGAGAAGAAGAAAGGGGATCTCAGTGGCCCCTGGCACATGACTAGAAAGTTCCCACAGAGATCTCCAGGACTTCTGGGCCCATTACTCCTTGTCTCATCTCTGACTAGGAGCATGCCCAAACACCTGGATGTCCCGAAACCACAGTGTGAGGCCAACTTGAGTGACCTGTGTGTCCTTGACTCTGATAGGAACTTCTTTGGTTCCTGAATCCCCTGTCTTGGGTTAACTGCATGCTGCTTACCCTTTCTTACAGTGGGAGCAAAGCATTGGGGTTAGCTCTGCTAAGAGCTTCAGGGGCACTTTGTGCTCGCTTCCGAGGAGCCCAGGACAGAAGGAAAGAGCGAGCCTGCTCTGCCATGAATGGGAGAAAGGAGGCAGAGGCTGGAGGGAAGGTAATTAGATCCCGTTGCCCCACAAGAGGCAACTCTAATTTTTATGAGCATTTAAATGATAATACATCATCCTAACGATCCTCTTTGAGAGTGATTATTGTTTCATATTACTTAGGTGTAAAAATATAAGCACCATGTAATTAGGGACCCAGTGTAATAAACTAATACAGATCGCCCGTTCGAACAAAATGAAGGTAATACAATTATGGAAAAGACACTCTTGCTAAGGCAGGGGCCCTTGAATACCCCAGGAGGAGTGCTAATATTGCCAGAAAACGATCAGGATCTGACAGGCTAACGAGGGCCTTAATTAAGTATGAAAAACTGCAGAGCAAATGCACGTGGAAACTTTCTTCCCCGGCTCTTCCTTTGTTTTGAAAAGGGCTCCACAGCCCATGCTGAGCCCTCCCTGTGGAAACTCCAAGGGCCCTGTCTATGGGAGGGAGGCTGTCTTCCTCTGAGGTCCTGGCCTGGACTGCTTGAGAGATGAGGAATGAAGGATGGGGTTTTAGGGTTGGGTGGTTGGCCTGGGGCTCTGGGTTTAGACAGCTGGTTCAGCAGACCTTCCTGGGGCATGTTGTATCCAGTCTTGCTCCTAAGCACAGGGGAAGAAGGTGGGACAGAAAGAGTACAGCCTCAGGATCAGGCTTGGATATTAATCATAGCTGTTATAGTGCTAGGTAGGGAACTTTATTGCTGCCAGTCATGGTCGCGCTTTTTGAATTTGACCCAGCTGTGGCTCACATGGGTACTCCATGAAACACAAGCAGCATCCCAACCCCCATCATCATCATCCTGGAGTCCCTGCTACACAAAGCTCTAGGGTCCAACAAACACTGAAGGCTTCCAGGGCGTGCTGTGGGAACTCCTGGTGCTCCTGACCCCAGCCAGGCTTGTGGTCAGTGTCTTCAGGTGAGGGAGAAACTTGGGGGGCTGGGGTAGAGTGGCTGTGCTCCTTCAGGTTCTCCTTTTCCTTTTCCCTACTCAGATCTGGGGTCTACATGCCAAAACTCAGCTGTGTCCTAGACCAGTGAGAAGGTTCTGGGGATGAAGCCTAGAAATAAAGATTTGAAAGCCCCAGTCAGCTTCTACCTTTAGCCAAGGTTCAGAGCAGTGGGAAGAACAAGCTTCTCCAGTGTTCCTGGCCTGACTCTCCCTCTCGGGGTGGGGGGTGAACTTGAAGAGAGGAAGATGGAGGAGAGGGCACACCTAAGCTTAGGGCCTGGCTCACCAGAGCTGGGATGCTTGGGTTTTGTAGTATGGTGCAAAAGGGCATCTCACCCTCCCTCTGGGTGAAGTAGACTCAAGATCCAGACAGTTTCCACTCTCAGCCCCCCTCCCACTTTCAACTGGGGTGTCAGGAAGAGATTTGGAAGACTCTTCTGCATCTTGTTTATTCAGCCTTCTTGGTGTGTGTGTGTGTGTGTGTGTGTGTGTGTGTGTGTGTGTGTGTGTGTGTGTGTGTGCCCCCCCCCCCCCAGGCAGCCACCCACTCCCCGTGTGTGTCTGCTTGCCTCCTCCTCTGGAGGCATCCAGGCCCTATCTCCTATCTCAACCTGATGCATGGTCAGGCCCCAGTTGTTGTCTTTCCTGTGTGTGGACAGGATACATGTTCCTGTTCTCCCCTAACTCTGGAGAATATGGCCCCCTTTATTTACCATCAGACTGTAGGGCATTTCAAGTTATCAGGGTGTTACAATCTATCTATCTAATCTATCTATCTATCTATCTATCTATCTATCTATCTATCTATCTATCTATCGACAGGTCCTCACTGTGTATTGCCAGCTGACCTGGAAATCACTGTGTAGATCAGGATGGCTTTGATCTCACAGAGATCTGCCTGCCACTGCCTCCCGAGTGCTGGGACTGAAGATGTGTGCCACCTCCAGCAGAGAGTTTTAAAGAACCAGGCTCTAAATTCTTCTGTCATTTGACTGTTAGATCCATAGTCTCTTTTCCTGCCCTTAAAACAGATCGGGGATGTATTCTAGCCTGGCTTTTCTTTCTCTCCTTTTTTTGGGGGGGGTTCGAGACAGGGTTTCTCTGTATATGTTTGGAGGCTGTCCTGGAACTCACTTGTAGACAAGGCTGTCCTGGAACTCACAGAGATCCACCTGCCTCTGCTTCCTGAGTGCTGGGATTAAAGGTGTGCACCACCCTTGCCTGGCCCTTTCTTTAATTTTCAAAGGAGAAACTGGGCCCAGAATGAGGGGAATGGTCAGAGGCTAGGGGATCAGAAAAAAGGAGAGAGATACAGGGATGGAGAGACATGGTAGACAGACTGATGTCCTACAGACAGGTTAAGAGGCAGAGCATCAGCAAGTGAGGGATAGAGAGTGGCCACAGGGGTTGATGCTGTATTTGTTGAGTGGACCGGGCCCCTTGAGAGCAATGGGCAAGAGGAGATGGTTTGGAAAATGTGTTGGTTATTTTTTTGTCATCTTGATACAAACTAGAATCATCTGGAAAGGGAGAACCTCAGTTGAGAAACTGTTTTCACCAGTTTGGCCTGTAATCAAGTCTTTGGAGAATTTTTTTTTTTTTTTGAGACAGGGTTTCTCTGTGTAGCTTTGGAACCTTTCCTGGCACTTGCTCTGGAGACCAAGCTGGCCTCGAACTCATAGAGATCCACCTGGAGCATTTTCTTAATTAGTGGCTGATGAGGGAGGGCCCAGCCCACGGTAAGCAATGACACCTCTGGGCATGTGGTCCTGGGCTGCACTAGAAAGTAGGCTGAGTTAGTCATGGAGATACAGCCAGGAAGCAGCACCCCCCGACTCCGCCGTGGTCTCAGCTTCAGTTCATGCCCCTGGGATCCTGCCTTGAGTTCCTGGTCTGACTTTCCTCAGTGATGCAGTGTGTCCCTGAAGTGTAAGATGAATAAACCCTTTCTCCCTCAAGTTGCTTTTGGTCAGCGTTTTATCACAGCCACAGAGAGCAAACTAGAGCACCCATGAAGCTTAAGTTGCCCACAGGATCCATGTAGACCCAGGCCCTGGGTCTGTCTGAACCGAAATCTGACCCCATGCTTCCAACCCTGTGTCTGCCCTTACCATCTTCCAAGGTGGTGGCATTGATCTCACTGGACGAGGGTCCTGTGCCTGCCCGGTTGAAGGCCTGAACCACCACACCATACTGAGCAAACTTCTTGAGGTTATCCAGGGTGTAGACCTCACTGTCCCCAGTGGCCTTCATCTCCACAATGCTGTACTGCCCATTGCTGCCAGGGCTGTTCTCCCTGTAGCCAATCTGGTATCCCCGGATGACTCCATTCTGTAGCTCCTTCTTTGGTGCCTGTAGGCCAGGGGAAGGGAGGATGAAGACAGTGACACACTGAGATGACTTTGTTCTTAAAGTCAAGGATGCATTATTAGTCTTCTCCTAGCCCTTTGGGTTCCTATTCCACTTGGATTGAACCCAGAGGTCCTTGTCATGGCTATGTGGCCCTATATGACCATGACACTCAGATGCTGACCCATCTTCTCACTTAACCCTTTATGCTGTTCTTTCCAGGCTCATGACTGTCTCCACTGTGGTCCTTCTCCTCTGTCATGTCCTTGAGGAGTGGTCCCCTTCTAATGAGACAACCCTTAGCTGTTGGGGGGTTGTTCTGGCCTCTGGCCAGAGGCCTGTTTTTTCTCCCATGGCTTCTGACAGTCTATAGAGTTTGCCTATGTGTTTGAAAGTCTGCCGCAACAGAACCTAATGTCACAAAGGTGAGGTGCATTGACTCTTTTTACTGTTGGATCTCTGCACCTAAAATGGTGCCTGGCATACAGTGGACCCTGAGTACATACTTAGTGTAAGTATGCATGTATGCAACAATAAACAGGGACATTACTTGTATGCTCAGGGGCCTAGAAGAATTGGAACATCAGACAAAAGTGATCTGAAGGAGAGAGACGTGAACAATGAATTTAAATGAAGGGAAGTGTCCTGTGATTCCTGATTCCTGTTCACACACACTGGGATGAACATTACTGATAAAAATGATGTGAAAAAATCAGAACTCTGTTACACTGCTGGCAGGAATGTCAAGTACTACAATGACAGTGCCAGCAATCTGGCTATTTCTCAATCATACCATATATAATTCATGTGATCGTACAATCCGACTTCTGGGTATAAAACTCAAAGGACTGAAAGAAGGGACTCTGTTACTTGAGATCCATGGCCACAACAGCATTATTCACAAGAATGGATCAGTGAGATGTGACATGTCCACACAGTGGAATATGATGCATCCAGGAAAGGAGTGAAAAGCTGACATAGGTTATTGAATTGATGGGCTCAGACATTGCACTGGGTGAAATAAGCCAGTCACGAAAGACAGGCACCATAAAGTCCCCATTACAGAGGGCTGTGCACTAGGTGAAGTCACAGAAATAGAAAATGGAAGTTTCTAGGGGATGGGATGAGGGGACATAGAGTTCAGTTTAGGTGATGGGCAAGTATTGAAAATGGTTCAAGGTGATGGCTACACACCTCCGTGAATGCACTAATTGGCATGGAACTGTATGCTCTTTTAAATTAACAAAAGTTGTGGTGTGTGTGTGTGTGTGTGTGTGTGTGTGTGTGTGTGTGTGTGTGTGTGTGTGTACGTGCATATGTAGAGACCTCAGATTGCCATCAGGTGTCCTCCTCCATCACTCTATCTTACTTTTGAGATAGGGCCTCTCACTGGTTGTTCTGGCACTTGCTGTTTTGACTAAACCCAGAACCCGCTTGTCTCTGCTCTCCAATACTGGGGTTGCAGATGCATTGGAACATCAGGCTTCTAATTGATTTTGGGGATCTGAGTCTGGGTCATTATGCTAACCCAGCAAGCACTGTACCCTGTAAGCCATCTCTCCAGCCTCCCAAGCAACACTCTTATTAAACATGGCTATAAGATATAAGTTTTATGCTAAAAAAATCCTCCTGAAGATAAAAACAAAATGTAAACAAAGAATGCTTGACTTCTACCAGGCCCAGATCCTCTGGGAGCAGGCTGGGTTGTCCCCAGACACAGTGGCCAAGGGTGGAGGTGTGATGAGGGAGGAGACCCAAAGGCAGCCCGTAGATGGAAGGCCAGAGATGTCAAGAGGATGCTGGTGGGAGTGAAGGACCAATCCCAGAGGACAGGAGAACGGAGCAGAGAATGCTCTGCCAGCATGGAAAATGTTCTAACCCCAGGCTCGAGTCCTGATACAAACTTTGCCATACATAATCATGCACATATACAGGTGTCTTGAGAGAAAACATTGAAACATGAACACCGGTACATGGCAGGTTCTTATAGGACCCCTGCCCTCCCGGCCAAGTATGTGAAGAACTATAAACACATGTTCAGATCCTTCCGAATATGCATCCTAATCCCCACACCTACCCACGGCCAGACACAGTTAGATCCACAAATAGAAACTGGCTTCTTTAGGGACTGGGCCTGCCCATCTTTAAATTAAGATAGAAAGTCACCTCTGTGCATATAAAACCAGTTAGAACCAGAGTTTTGAAGACAATGAAGTTAACTTAAAAGCCCACCTTCTATTGTGCTAAAAAATAGTGAGATAAAAAACAATTAAGTTCGTAAAACAGCCCCACTGTTTCTTTTAATTCAATGAATGTTTTAAATGAATTGCATTTTAAGCTCACTGTTAACTCAATAAAATTAAGTTTTTAATTTAACGTAATTGTTTTGAACTCACTAAATAGGTGTGTGCGTGCCTGTAATTGACTTGACTTTTTGCTATTGCCTGAATCATCTCTGCACTTGGGCAGTTCTGTGCCAGTAGCCTGCAAGTGGGCAAATCTCTGCAGCTGGGGCTTGTGCATACTCATACACACACTTAGATGCCTACCAGAGGCACACACTCATCTTCAAGAGCACAATACACTCATTGGTGCACTACATACACTCTGCTATTACTAAACACACAGTCACATCATTGCACAATGTCACACTACTTTACCTATCCAGGACTATGTTTGCCATGACTTGCCTCTGTACATATCACCTAGTGCTATCTGCATCATGTTATATGCATGTATATTTGACTCAGGGCATTTATGTCTAGGTATTTATCTCTGTGCATATAACCTTGGGCTATGTATACCACAACAGACACCTATGCACATGACCCAGGGCCATCTATGTCATGATATATGCCTGCACACAAGGCCACAGCCACATATCCTAGCAGAAGACCTGGGCAAACACTCAGGTACTCCTGATGTACGTATATATTTCACAAATTTATACAAATCTTGACATAACTGCCTCCCCTCTGTCACTCACCTTTTTTTCTCTTTCCCTCTTTCTCTCTTTCATTCCACATCTCCCTCCCTCCCAAATGTATACACTTGGGATTTAAATCAATCTTAACAATATTTCCCTGAAACATTAAGGAATCAATAGGGCTGATTGCAAATTTATATCATAAAGCAGGGGTGATCCATCCCACAGAGAGTCTTAAAGCAGAGTGACTTATCTTTCAAGTGAATTTTTATTTTTCATTAATCTGTTCTCAGCGTTAAAAAAAAATCCCCACGAGAAGTCAGTCCCTAAATTTATTGACTTGCTGGCTCATTCTGAAGTTCTAACTTTCTAATCAATTTTATTTTTCATTATGAGACTTTGGAGAAATAAATTTGATTCTAAATTTTTATCGACCTCTGGGTCAGAGCTTTGTAGCAAACACCTGGGTGTTTAACATGGTTCTCTGGCTCCACCTCTGGGCACCCTCCATAGTCCCAAGAAATGAGTTCAGAACTAAGATGCTGACAAGATGGGGTGGGACTGGGCTTTACTTTCGGCTTCTGGAGAAAGCTCCGGAGCCCAGATCTGAATCTAGAGGGCTTTTTCAAGGGGCATGTCTAAGGGGTTTCTAAGACCAGACTAATAGAGACGTGAAGACTCAACCTAAATGTGAGCGACTCCATTCATGGATTCCCTACTGAATGAAAAGGAGACAGAGAGCTGAGCTCACTCTGCCTCACTCTGCTTGCTGGTCATGCATGTGACCCCTTGTGACTTCCCCACCACGACGAACTGAACCCTCACAGAGTGATCCCAAATCCACCCTTCCATCCTTAGTTGCTGATATCAGATATTTTATCACAACAACAAGGGAAAGCAGCTGGTACAAGGCATCAGGTGGGACCATATCTTCTGCCATTTCTCTGGGGAGGCAAGAGTCTAGGCTGCTGCTGCGGTGTGAGTGTATGCACACACATGTGACCATGGCCATTGTAGGAAAAATGTCTAGGCCCTTCTCACATTCTTCCATGTTCAAGTCGACCCTCTTAAAGAGCCCAGATGGAGGACGAATGACACTTTAATTTTCTGGTTAGGAGTGAGAGTGAGAACACAACACTAGAAAACTGATTGCCCATGACAATGAAGTCACCCTAAGGTCTACTGTCAAGACTGGAATGTACCTAGAGTTCCAAGGCCAGGTCCAAAGAAGTTCTTTGTCAAGAACTCTGTTCAGTATGCTGCAGTGGGGAGATGGGTCTGGGAGTCCCATCTGTATGCCTTGGTCTCTGTCTTTTACCTGAGCAATTATAGGCAAATCAGCTTGAGTCTCTTCATCCTTGCCTTCTTCAGCTGGATGTCGGTGAAAATACCTTTCTGGGTACTGTCATTTTATCGTTTCATTTTATTATTCATAGGGAGAGGGTCAGATGAGTTTGTGTAGGAGTGGGCCCTGGGAACTGGATGCTGCAGAATTGTGGGAAGGCATGGATGGAGACACTGACTCATCTCTTCTTGTGAGGGACAGAGAACACAGTTCCCTAGGAGCACCCTGACTCTTAGTTCTGCTCATCTCTTGGCTCATCAGTGGAGTCTCCTTTAAGACATCCTTAAGTGGCAGCTGCCTCTGCTGCCTGAGTTCTCAGTCCCTTAGCACTGGCTGCAGTGAACACTGATCATTGACCTCTTTTCTCTAAAGATTCCCAAGGCCTAGAAGGACAGCTAGTGGTTTTCAGTGTTTCCAAAATAATCCTGGGATGGAGAGATGGCTCAGTGGATGAAGGTACCTACTGCTAAGTTTGATGGTCTGAATTGTATCCCAAGGACCCATGTGGTAGAAGAAGAGAACTGACCCCTGCCCTCTGCATGTGTGTTGTTTGACACATGAGTGTGCATGCATTTGTGTGTATGAGTACATACACACACAAACACATAGGCAAATACACAGAAATACACACACACACACACACAGAGAGACACACACACACACAGACACACACACACACACCCTCAAATTTTACCCTGATGTTTTAGTAGGAGAACTTTGCACAAAATCAAACCCAATTCCTACTCTTTTATACCACATTGGGTTTAAGGATGGAATGATAAGTGGGCAGAACCACATTGGCACTGTCAAGTTCTTCATCTCATTTCTTGCTAGGGTGAAAGGGAACAAGGCTTGAGAAGGGATGTTCCCTTTACCTTTTTGTCCTCCCACCCTTCAAACGCCACTGGACCTAGTGAGAAAATAGGCATGGGTATCATGAGAAGATATTAGTGAGCCTGACGGATTCACCGGTGTATCCTGGAGGGCCAGGCAAGATGGGATCTCACTTACCTTCCAGGTCACTTGGATGCTCTGTGAAGTCACCGGTTGCAGGGTGACATCCATAGGGGGCCCATCAGGAGCTGGGTACACAGAAGAAGTAACACTGAGTCACATCCTGGTAGAGGAAACAACCCTGTGTCCTCATGTCAACCTGGAGGACTGCTGAGGAGGGAGAAGCAGCTGATCTTCAGAGTGGGACATGGCAGTTATTACTCTGTGATCATTTGTAACATTGCACACATATGTCTTAGGAATGTTTCAACATCATTTTGTTTCACAATAGCACATATAAGAAAAAAACATCAAAAGAAATCGTGTTTAAATATTTATTAAAATCTGGGTCTAGGCCAGATAGTGGTGGCGCACGCCTTTAATTCCAGCACTTGAGAGACAGAGGCAGGTGGATCTCTGTGACTTCAAGGCCAGTGTGATCTACATAGTGAGTTCCAGGACAGCCAGGTACACAGAGAAACCCTGTCTCAAAAAACCAATCCAAATCAAACCAAACCAAAATCTGGGGCTAGGTGAATAGCCCAGTCAGGTGTTTGGTTTGCAACTCTGAGGACCTGAGTTCCATCCCCGGAACCCATGTAAGAAAATCTGAGTAGCACATGCACTTGTAATTCCAACACTAGGCAGGCAGAAGCAGATCCCTGGGGCTTGCTGGCCAGCAAGCTTAGTCTGCTTGGTAGATTTCTCGACAATGAGAGACTTTTGAAAAAGAAAAGGTGGATAGTACTAGAGGAACAACACTGAAGTCTGTCCTCTGACCCCTACATACACCCACATACAAGGGCATGTGCACCCTGCCCCCATGACTAAGGTCAATGGCCCAGGGAACCCAGACTCCATGCTTTGTAGAGTCAGTGAATCTTTTCTTTCCCATATAGGCTAGCGCCCTGGGAAGCAGGGCAGGACCACGGACAGCTCCCCAAAGCCACCAGGCAAACAAAACAAAAACAATAAAACAAAAACAACCCCTGCCTTCTCAAAAATCTCTGGCCTCTTATGATTCATAAAATGTATTTTTGGAGTGAATAGGGTTGGTGGAGGCTCCTGATGTCTGTGAGTCTCAAGACCCTGGGCAGTGGAGGCAGAGGACAGGATAGGTGCTCACCAGCCTCTTCTGTGCTGATGGTAAGCTCCTTGCTTGGCTCACTGCGTCCAATCTTGTTGAAGGAGTACATGCGGATGCTGTACACAGATGCCGGGTGCAAGTCCACGATGTTGGCCTGGTTGATGGTTGGGGAGATGTTTCGAGTGGACTGTTTAAAATCCCAGGAATCTAGAAAGGAGATGGCCATTTCAAAGCGCAGCCTTGCATATTCTGGTGCCTGTCCCTTCCCCAGCCTCAAGTATCAGCCTATCCCAGTTCTAACTTGGACACTGGAGATGTCCAGTTCACACCGACAGCAGAGAGAGCCTTAGTAACTTCACAGGGATTACAAAGGGGCCATTAGAAGAAGCTTCAGCTTCGGAGAAGCCAGACTTTCCTTTGTCCCTATCAGTGTGTGAGCTAAACTGCAGCCAGAAAAGACAGGACACTTTCTATTGTCTGCTAAGGCCAACACTTGTTTGCTAACCCTGGGGTCCAATGGACAGTGCTTTTCTTATGGCATCGTTTGGAAATCCATGACTTATCCATGGCTACTGTGAGATACCCTGTTCACCCTATGGTGAATGTCCCTATGGGGAAGAGGAAGTGAGAACCCTTCCCTCTCTCTCTGCTCTCTGCTTCTGTATCTCCCTTCCTTGTACATCTGCGAGGTGATCTGAGAGTTCTGTGTGAGGTTGGGGAGGGTGTGAGCAGACCAAGTGCCAGAATGCACAGCCCAACCCCACCCTCTTTCCTATACCAGCAACAAAAATGTAAGGTGTCAGAGTCTTCAGAAAGAGGGACCAACAAAAGGATTAACATGTTCACAATTCAATTCATCTAAGGAGACTGGCAGTCCATTCCAGAGCTAATGTTTAGCAAAATTGTAAAACATGGAAATGCCAGTTAAATGCATCCCAGGGATCCAGTGACTGCAAACTTTATTCATCTCCAGAGGAACTCAGCTATTCATCCATGCTTGCTGTGTCCCTACTAGGGGACTCTAGAGTGAGATGGAGAGGAGCTGCAGTTACAGTGATGGCTGAGCCAGGACCTGTACTCAACCCAGAGGGCTTGACCAGGTGCCCCCTTTTTTGAACACTTCTGGGAAAAATGGTAAAGACCAAGGAAGCAAGCTAATAGTAGGGCTTAAAAGTGTACCCCTGCTCACTCTTAATATTCTGTGCTTAGAAATCTACTGTGGCACACAATGTCTTGAAAGAAACCTCAGGGGAAAAGATCAAGCCACAGCTATACAGTTTAACTCAAAGGGCAGGAAAGGATGTTACAATTGTAGGCAGGTTTTTTAAGAGGATTTTTTTTGCATGTGTGTATGTGTGCACCTACACAAGTTAGCATGCATGTGGAGGCCAGAGGACAACCTCAGTGTCTCTCAATCACTTTCCACCATAGGATTTTTGAGACAGGAGTTCTTTGGACCTAAGTTAGACTGGCTGTCTTGCAAGCCCCAGGAGGCTCTCTGTGGCTTTTTTTTGTTGCCTAATATTTTTATGTGGTGTCTGAGGTTTGAACTCTGGTCCTCATGCTTGCATGTTACTGAGTGAGTGATCTCCAAGCTTTTAAGAAGACACTTAAAACTTTTATTACATTTATTTAAATAAGCAAATAAATAAATAAAGTGTGTGTGTGTGTGTGTGTGTGTGTGTGTGTGTGTGTGTGTGTGTGTGTGTGCATACAGGCCATTATGTGCATATGAAGGCTAGAGGTCAACTTGCAGGAGTCAGTTTTCTCCACCATGTAGGTTCTAGGAATCAAAAGATCATTAGGCTTGTTGGCAGTGTCTTTACTCACTGAGCCAGCTTGCCAGTCCAAAACACACATGGACACACATGCATATGCACATACATACATACATACATAGCCTGAATACAACAGAATCCTATACTTTCAATTCTGGTCAAATGAGATCTTGATGCCTTTAAAACACAGCTCTCAGCTGCACAGGCTTAGCATCTGTGAAGGGCATCGGCCCAACTCCCATCTGTAGTTTTGCATTTAATTCATCGGTTGCTGGAGCCAAACCAACAACATGGCAGGCTGTGGATGCTCTGAAACACATTATTTTCTTCTTGTCTTTAAAAACACCCGAGCCACACAGAGAGTCACTCTGTAGCTGACAGGTGAAGCCAGAATTGCAAATAGCTGGCTGTACCTGCCGTGGACACCTCTTTGATTTGGGATGGAACAGACTGGCCATGTGGAGGCAGGTGCTCCTGGCTCTGAATGTGGGGTCCTGGGAGCTGGTGCCAGCTCACAAATCACATCGGGTTTGCCCGTGTTTACAGGAGCGGGAGAGTGATCAGAAGTCAGTGCATTCATTTTTGATGAGTGCAGGCAGAGGGAAGTGCCGCGTGGGATGTGTCTGAAAACAGGGGCCACAAAGAGGCACTGACATCTACCAGGCACCTGTGTGGTGCCAGGGGCAGCAGTGGATGACTTAAATATGTGGTCTCGACTCCTTGCGCCTTCCTCTGATGTCAGTGCTGTGTCTCCAACATCACCGATCCCATCACCCACTGGGCCCGCCAATGAGTTTCACTTGTCAGTCTCCCCTCCCCCCTTTTTTCCTGAAATGCTCCTCCCTTGGCTTTCTAAGAAAGCTCTTGAATTCTGCTTCTCTCTTGGGCCTGTTTTGCTGTCTTTCTGCAACTGCAGCCTCCTTAGCCTACCGCCAATGAGCACCTTTCTTTTGGGTTCCATCCATGCCCTCCTCTCACACCATACACTCCTCACACCCAGGCTTCCTAGGTGTTATTTCAGACTTGCCCCTCTGTCTCCTTTGCTATCAAGTCTGATAGCTTTTATGTCCCAGGTAGCTCTTGACCATATACAGGATCTTTCCACCTATATCCCTAATCCAGGTTAAACTATTGTCATCTCTCCTTTTTCTCTCTTAGCCCTCTCTCCAGGCAACTGGGAGTCTCTTGCCAACTTCTACCTGTTCTGGACCCCATGACTGTCATTCATTCAGCACACATGGCTGAGACCCTCTCTCAAGGGCATGTACTATACTATGGCATTGCAATTGCTCCTTGTAAGATGCAGATCTGATCCTGCCACCTCCTCTCATGAAACTCTTCAATATCTTTCCCTTGCTACTGGGTGAAGAAGTTCTACAGTTGGACTAAGACCCTGTGGCCCCAGCTCATGTCCATCTCTCCCCAGCCTCATGTAGAGTCCTCATCATAGCCACACCACAGTATCTCACTTTTGAGGCTCACTGTTCTAGGGGCATTGACCAAGAAGGTGCCCTGTCCCTGAAGACAGGAGCCATGTCTAAAGCTTTGGTCCTCACCCCACTTTGCAGTATTGAATTCTCAAAACCTGTTGCTGGCTTTTAGATCAGAGCCCACCCTTTTGGACTTTGAATTTAGAGTCCCTTGGATTTTGCCTTTTCCTCCTCTGCCTTCCTCAGTTGCTAGTCACAGGAAAGCAGGGGAGGGGCTGTCCCAGATGGCATCTCCTTCTCTTCTTTCGTCAGTTGCTCAGAGGTAGATTTGCCCTTGTGTTCCACATCATTTCTGATTCTGGTTTAAAACACCTCTCTCTCTCTCTCTCTCTTTTCTCCCTTCATAACTAGTGGACCTGAGTCAGGCCTGGAGGGGTCTCCTGAGTTCCCAGGATTGATTTATCACGGCCATCCCCCTGATGCTGAACAGTTGAACTCAGGGGCCTATTTTCTTCTGTTCCTTCCTCTGCTCTCTGGGAACATTGCACTGGATTTGGTGAATATTGTCTCTTTTAATATTCCCTTTCATATGCGCCTGCCTTGCCCAGATTAACATATTTCATTAAGGGCTCTCTCTTCCTTTCTTCATCAAAGGATTTATGATGCAAAATATTCTTCTTAAAAGCTAAGAAAGTGGCTGGGGAGATGGCCGTGCCTTCTGCTCTGAATGCTGTTTGCTAAAAGGAGCCTGGGCTTTGACCATTTTAGGAGCCACTTCTCTGCAGAGGGTTCAGGGGAGGAAAATGACTCAAGGGGAATGCAGATCTGGTCTGATCCCCCCTTGCATCATAGCCCTGAAGCCCACCCCCTGCATGGTACTCCCCCAGTAACACAGAGACTCCCTGGGTCACAGCAGCAACTGACAATGTCTCAGTACCAGCTGCACTCCAGTCTCTACAGTATGACACACTAAAGCTTCCCCTGTGGGGCCAGTACAGCACCCAAGCTGGTTGGCCCACCAGGCAGTCTTCTGGGCTTTGAAGACTGTCCACAGACAAGCCCCTCCCTGCTCTGTGCTTGGTGAACAGAGGTAAACGTGGCATCTGCATTTCTCAGTGTGTGCAGTACCATCTGATAGATTTGTGTGGACGGTGCTATTTATCATTCAGCATTCATGTATTATTACTCTACTGCCTGGGGCCGGGAAAAGACAGCATGAACACGATGGCTTAGAAAGGGTAGGCTTGGTAATTTTCCTTGGAAAATTAGCATGATGAGCAACATGGCAGAAAACCTGGCCAAGGGGCAGGGCATTGTGAGCAGATGGTGGAGACCCAGCTTGGGTGTGGTCTGGGGTATAAGGGAGGGAGAGGGAACAAGGCATTTCTACACATGTCACCATTCTCCCTTCATCCTCATGACTTCCCTGAGAATGAAGGATTCCTGTCCCCACTTTGCAAAGAGACACTTGTGAGCTTACCTAGCATCCACGAGACCCCAGGTTACTCAGTCCCCAACACCACAAAACAAAACAGAAGCAAGAAATCTGTTTGTGGTGTGTGGTGGTGAACACTCATAATCTTAGCATTTGGGAGGCCAAGACAGGATGATAGCAAGTTTGAGGACAGCCTGAGTTATACAGAGAGTTCCAGGCCAACCTGGCTTTAGGGAAAGAGCTTGTCTCAAAAGTCACTCTACCTTTTAAGAAAAATGAAGGGAGATGCACAAAGTTGCTCAAAAATACTAAATGCCACACAGTTCTGATATTTGATCACCCCAAGTCTGTAGTTTTAGTTGTCATCTCCATATTACACATGTGAAAAGAGGTGAGATTAGATACAACACACACACACACACACACACACACACACACACACACACACACACACACTCCCTTGTTGATGCTGTTCAAAGAGAAAGCCCCTCTCCACCTAACTGCCACATAAAGTGTTTGAGTTATAGGGGGAGGGGAACTTATATTTGTCAAGGGTTCCCTCTAGCCTTATGCCAGCTGCTTCTAGAATTCTCCACAATCTTCCCCCATTAGACATTCTTCATTCTGCACCCACAGAAACTGTGCCATGCTCACACCCTTTGTCTCAAGGACAAGCTGAAGTTCTCATTGCCCCCAAATGCCAGGATGTGCCAGATGTCTATTTGGGTGGGCTTTTTGTTCTACTGAGGGCCACTTTCCCAGGCCTCTGGATTTCTAAGTGTGCAAAGCCCCATGGGAAGGCTTCTGTGCAACTAAGCTCCAGATTTCCCTCCCATGTCTAGCCTACTACTGGTGGTACTTCTGCCCTGGGAGGGCCTATGCAATCCCATACCCTGTAAGAGGGTCACAGAAGGATGGGGTAGGGATGTGGGATGTGGACATGTTTTAAGAATAATGTTTTCCCTGTCTGCCTCTCTTCTGCTTCCCCTCCCAGATGGGTGATGATCTCGGTGGCCCTCAACTGAGCAGTGCCCTAGGAAGGATTTCCACACATTAAAGAAGTTTGTCTGAGGAGTAGGGCACAACAATAGTGCAGTCAGGAAGAAGGGCAGAGTAGAAGTTATGAGGAACATAGGAGAAGGAAGACAAGATCTCCCAGGCACCTACTACCCACCAAGACGTGAGCCCAGATGAGGGATGGAGTGGGCATCACTGCATGGAGGTGACGTGTGCCTCTGGGAGGCTTATCCTCAGCTTCAGGGGAGGCCTAGATGTGAGGTGGACACACTCAGCTTGCTAGACCTTCTGTCTCTTTACTAAAACCACCTGAAGGTCTGCAAGTACCTCTTTGCTCTGCTACTAGATGCCAGTTTTTAGCAGGCATCCATCCTTGTGGTGGGGCTGGGCTGTTCAAGCTTCTTGGGAGCTCAGTCATAGACATAGTGGTTCTACCAAGTGGAAGCTCAACTTGGAGGCTTTCCTCCCTTCCCTGCTCCAATGCACACCCACAGCCATAGTGCAGTGCCCATGGTTGGGGTCTGTGAAGCCCTGGCTGTGCCTTTCTGGCTCTGCCTTTCTGTTTTTCTCTGCAGGTAGTGTGTTCTATCTTAGTCCACTAGACCTAGCTTAGAGAATCATCCACAGAGGATCTGGTGGGGGCCTTTCTTGATGATCCTTGGCAGAGGATCATCCTTTGCACCCCCTCCTTTGCATTCAGTGTGATCCCTGGGTGTCTATCTGAAGCTGGCCTGGAAGTTTCCAAGGGCAGGACTCCATTGGGTAGCAGCTTGTATCAGAGATGATATACCACATCTTGGGTATGCAGCTCTCCAGTGTCTGCCTTCTCATCTCCTTCATCACCACAGCCTGTGATGGGTGTTTCAAGTACTGTGAGGAAAAGGACTGACCAGCCAGGAGGCAAGGCTGGCCAGGTACTGTGCTATAAACAGGATCTAGGTGGTACAGCCTGAGAGTTGAGCTAGAATTCAGTAGGTGAATGGGGGCTGGTAGGAGAAGGCCAGAAAAGGGCAGAGAAAGGCTGAGTTCTGCAGGCTGTTCCTGCCTTTTAATTTTAGTAATTTTGAGAAACTAGGATTGGCCCTTGGTACTCGATTCCAAAGGTGCACAAAGGACCAGAGAAGTCTGTTTTCTTCTGACTCCTGCCATAGAGTTGGTTATTATCCTCTTGCTCCTTTTTGCTTCCTCCTCCCCTGTACCATTCCCACTGCTTGACCATGGGACTCATCCTGGATTTTGCACCTCCTGGGTACCTGGTATTTTCTCTGCCCCTCAGTGCTTCACAGTAATGTGGGAGTAGCATGGAGCCTCTGGGGCTGTAGAGGAAGGTTCTGGAAGGGCTTTGGGAGCAGAGACTCAGTGGCCCAGTCTTACTGATCTCTAACACATTCACCATCCCAAACCAAGACCATCCCATTTGTGATCCTGCAAAGCCACAACATTCTCACATAGGCAGCCCACAGCCCTGCACTCAGCATCTGTAAATCAGACTACACTGGAGAGAACCTTGGTCCAAGGGTTCGATCCCTTCCTACCAGCAGGATGTCTCAGCCTGTACCTTAGCTTCTTAGGCTAGTTACCGGAGGGGGCTGGTGAGTCTGTCTTAGGTTAGTGCTGCCCCATCAGAGGGGCACAGGTAGGCTGTGTACCCCAAGGGGCCATAGTAGGCAAACCCTCACCATCTGTCCCAGCACCTACCTGATTTATTCTTGTACTCAATATCAAAGCCAGTGATGATGCTGTTTCCATCAAATCTCTGAGTCCAGCGCAGGTTCATGCTCCGGGCCTTCACCTCCCGGATCTCCAACTCTGGGGGGTCAGGGGGTTCTGGGTAGTGATGAAAGGGGATCAAAGGTGAGACAATAGCAGGCAGTTTGGCTGTAGGCCTCTGGACCCTAGGGAAGGTGGATGGTCAGGTGGGCAGGAGAATGTACCTTGCACAGTGAGCTGGATCAAACCCCGGTCCTCCCCGTATGAATTGATAGCGTGGCAGCTGAAGAACACGGAGTCCCCACGGTCAGCTGGCTTGAGCTGAGATATGACCAGTAGGAGCAGAAAAGGGAGGAAACAGGGAGAGTCTTTCAGAGGGGGACACTCTGGGGGGACTGAGAGGGAGATTCAGAAGGCCTCTGTCAAGGGTTTATCTTCCCAGAAGGTTTGAGATCTGCATATAGAGGAACTCAAGCAAGGAGAAAGGGTCATGAAAGAGGCTCTGGGTGGGGGGTATTCCCAAGAAGGAGAGTGGAGACTCAGGGGTTCCAGACAAGAAAGAGGGGCCGAGAAACCGGCACAACTCTGGCTGTGGGGATCAGAAGGGAGACAGGTTGAGGTTCTGATGTAGAAATTCCTGGGTGGAGAGGAGCAAGGTGTGGGAATGGTAGGTACTTTGTGAGGTACAGGGGAGGGCTCCCAGTCTCCATTTGCCTAATGTAATGGGGGCCCCTAGGCCTGGGTACCCACCTTTAGTGTGGAGACCACCTCATCGCCATTGTCCTTGGTGGCAATGGCATACCGCATGACTCGGTCTGGGTCGATGACAGTGTCCCCCTTCTCCCAGCGGATGATGATGGGCCGCTCTCCCCGCGCAGTGCAGTTCAGCTCCTTGGAATGGCCCTTGATGGCGATGGTGGTGTTGGGGTGGGACGTGATCATGGCTGGGACTGGGGAAGAGGAGGCAAGGGGCTGTGAATACCTCAAGACTCGCCTTGGGGAGGCACCTGTGAGACGGAAGCCCTGCTCCTCACTCTGTCCCATCCATGCCTGGCTGTCTCAAACCCCAATGCCCCATCACCATCCATAAATCCTGCCCTGCATGTCACCCCCACCCAAGCTATGCTCTTTGCTGCCCAGCTTCAGAAGGCTTCCTCCCAAGAAGGGGCACCCTGTTTGCCTATCCCTGCTACCATGCCTGGCACCTTCCCCCTTTCCCTCAACACTTCCCGGACGTTGCTAGCAATACCAGGTTTTTGGTTGTGAGCCTAGCCTTTAACTACTGAGCTATCTCTCCAGCCCGCAATACCAGGTTTTACATGCACAACATAGTTAAAAAAAACCCCAGTTATATTGAAATATGGTTATGCAAATATTAAAAACACTAACAAGCAAACTTTGGATATTGTTTATCACACATCAATATGTTCTGCTCTTATTCTTTATGAGATAAGATCTGGCAGCAGGCCTTATAATTACTGTCTTATATTACCATGCTTTTGTAGCAGTGATGAGCACAAATGCTATTTTGAGAGATCTACAATAAATATGACATGACATGAAAATATCTGTGCATTTCTATGGGTGACAGTCACACACACCGTTACTGCTGTGGCTTGTGGCTTCTGTTCACAGGGAATGACTAGATCTCAGCTAGAGGCTAACATAAAAAAGTGTGATTTTTCCACACTCAAACACATGGCCCCATTGAGTCAGCTCTGTAGATGTCTGGGGTCTTGGTGAACCTCAGGTTCAGGATCATACTCTAAGGCTGGGGTCTCTGCTTGTCAGAGTAGCTGAGGTGTGTTTAGCTCTGGCTTTGTTCCACAAGAGGTCTGGGTAGGGACATTATAAAAGACCTTCCAGTGATGCTATTAGGGCTTTCCAGTTCCTGCCCCACCTGCTGACCCTATGGTTTCACTAAGGCAGAGCCATGACCCTAGATGGTTCTCCAGAGGCCTCTTCCACTCGCCTGGGCAAGGAGCCTTACCAACACCAGAGCTTCCTCTGGACTTGTGTATCTTGACCAGAAACAGGGAGGGAGGTGAGCAGAGTCTCTGAAGTCTTGGCCCCTGCCCTCTGTGAAACTAAAACCACCATGCGCAGGGCTTTCATATTACGCAGCACCGTGCCAGGCCTTGGGTATACATGTTGTAACACATCAGGTTCCATCCTAGATGGAGGGACTGGGAAGACAGATGCATTTGTGGATGACAGGAACATGGGAGACATCTGAGGAGTGTGTCTAGGGACGTACAGGAAGGCATGACCCACACTCACCACAAACATTCACTAAGACCTAGTATGTGGAGTCTGCTCACACTGGGTTCTGTAGGTCAGAGAGGAGCTCACCTTTGACTACCATTGCTTTGTCTGCAATGGTGCATAAAGAGACCCTGGTTTCTCTTGTTTCAAAACTTGATCTGCTGGCACAAAGTCTGCTTCTTTCCAGTTGCTCCCCTGCTCCCTCCAGTGTCCTTCTGGACTGTTGTCATCCTTGTTTTATTTTCATGTTGTGTGTGTGTGTGTGTGTGTGTGTGTCCCCGTCCATGCAGAGGCCAGAAACTGATGTCAGTTGTTGAACCTGGAGCTCATTGATTCCACCAGCCAGTCTGGCCAGTTGATCTTAGTGATCCTCCTGTCTCTGCTTCCCCAGTGCTGGGATTACAGGCATACTACCATGCTCAGCTTTTTACAAGGGTTCTGGGTCCTCATGCTTGTGCAGCAAGCACTTTACCAACCAAGTTATCTCCCCAGCCATGGCCTCTCTTCCAGTTTTAATGACTAGCCCAGACAGTGATGGCCCCAAGCAACTCTCTAGGGACAGCTGGATTTTATGACCAAAGAAGCTTTTGGAGAAAGGAAGGGTGGGCCTGGAGAGGTGCAACCTCAGATACCAACTGAGGGTGAAGGGATAATCTGAACAGGTGCAAGAAGGTGGCGGGCAGCAGCTGCTCCCTTAGGCTCCCTAAGGTCACACCTCATAGCCAGCTGGTCCCACTGAGGCCTCCATGTGCAGGATCTGAGGTGGGGGTGGAGGCAGCCCTAGCCCCAGGCCCCCTGTAACAATGTCTCAGTACATTCCCCAGTCCCGGCTCATCAAATAATGAAGCAGATAAACTTTATAATGCACGGCATTACACCAGAATATACAATAAAATGCGAAAGACAAATAACGAGGTGTAAGTTATAATGAAGAAAAAGCCTGCAGTCAGAGACATCCAAGTATGAATTATTGACTAAGGTTTTACACTCTCAAGGATGTGCGCAGGAATATTTTTCCATCAAAGATTTGCATAATTCACTCGTATAAACCTGGGTGGAATATAGAGTGAGATTTTACATCGACAAGTCGAGCCTTGCACTGCAGATGCCTCCATGTTTTACGGGAGGGTGGGAAGGCTAGGGTGGGGGAGACCCAGCTGCTTCTGGAATACACACAGGGAATTAGCAAGGCCTGAATCTGAGCCACTGGGTGGGTCTAGGGCCCGAGGCAGTTGTGAAAGAGGTGATCCTGTTCGTGTGTGTGTGTGTGTGTGTGTGTGTGTGTGTGTGTGTGTGTGTGTGTATAAGGGGGGGTAGTGTTTAGCAGAGCACAGAGATGGGGCTTAGCACAGGTCAAAGCCTGGGAAGGGCAGGAGGTGGGGAGGTGGGGAGGAAGATTCTTTGGGAAAACTTCCCAGCTCTGAGCTACCCTGAGAAGCTTGCTCATCTACGCTCTGCCTTGCATGCAGGCCTACAGCACCCTGTGTAAAGACACCATCTATCCAAATGCAGCTTCATGCTATGACCTGAGTCTTGCCAAGTGGATTCCATTCACCCTGGAGGTGGCATACCTGTGAGCAGTGCAGAACCTGTGCATCCAATTCAGGGCACTTGTCTTTCCAATCAGGGCTACCCAGAGGCAGACATATGGGCAGTCAGAGACAGTGGAGTCTCCAGAGATCTTTGACTTCTCAGCCCTGCATAGCAACAACATTGGGGGCTGGCTCCCTATCCTCCCGTTGGCTAAATGTGTTTATAGTAACAAGTGCCAGGCAAGATACACCTAAGCTCTCCTTACTTCCGATCCAGGGAAGTCACTGAAGGCAAGGAGGAGGGGAGCTTGAATGGTTTGGGAGCCCTGAGACCTGGCTCTCATCTTGTCACTACAAGCTTTTTAGGGTTTCAACACATTTAAGTTAACTTCTCTGTGTCCCACAGAATGGCTGTGGGGACACAATGAGAGTTTATGTATTGATACAGTACCTGTCCTACCAGGCTCTATACTCCACCTCCCCACAGACATCCATGTCCTACTCCTTCTCTAAGGAAATATTAGCTAGACCCATGTGCACCAAATTCCTCCCCTAAAATGTTCCTGGCACACTATCCACAGAATCAGAGTGCCCAGATAAAGACCCGCTCCGCTAAGTCTGTATCCACCAGCCACAGGCGTTGCTGAGCATATGAAACACGCTGGGGCTGATTGAGAGGCACTATAAATGTAAAACAGACACCAGGCTTCAGAAATGTAAAAAGAAGAGAAATGTAAAATATCTCACTTACATTTTTATATTGATGATGTATGTAGATACTCTAGATAGACTGAGTTAAATGAATGATAGGATTACAACCCATAATACTCTGTACAAGGAGAGGAATTTAGGCTGTTAAGGGAAGCGATTTGCCCAAGGCCACTCTGCTAGCGTAAGTGCACCTGAAAAGAGGGGGAAAACTGAACACAGTGGGGTATACCTATAGTCCCTGCAGGGAGACACTGTAACCATGCCTCCTAAGGTGTGGCTACAGGTGGGCCTGACAGGGACTATAGGTCAGGGTGTGGTCAAGGTGATGTCAGGGTGACTCGGAGAGGTTTTAAAGGGACAGACAAGGCATATGGGTGCTCTCTTGCCTTGCTGCTTTTGGCACGCTCTGTCTTGCTGTTGGCTGGCGTTTATCTATTAAAAGTTATCTTAACCTTACAGTTTTCGTATCAGTTATTCTGAATATGCCCGAACAGCGACTTGAACCCCAGCTATAGTGGGTGCTGAGGCAGGAGGATTGTTTGAGACCTCCATAACTGGTGCCCGAACAGGGACTTGAACCCCAGCTATAGTGGGTGCTGAGGCAGGAGGATTGTTTGAGACAGCTTGAGTAACAGCATAATGAGGGCCATGAAGGAGGAGGATATGGACAAGAAGGTGGAAGAGGAAGAGGAGCAAAGAAGACAGATGGGAGGAAGGGAGGGAAGGAGGGAGATTGAGATAGAGAGAGAGAGACAGAGAGAAAGAGAGAGACAGACAGAGAGAGAGACAGAGAGATCGAGAGAGAGAGACAGAGAGAGATAGAGAGAGACAGAGAGAGAGACAGAGAGAGAGAGAGAGACAGACAGAGAGAGAGACAGAGAGATAGAGAGAGAGAGACAGAGAGAGATAGAGAGAGACAGAGAGAGAGACAGAGAGAGACAGAGAGATAGAGAGAGACAGAGAGAAAGAGAGAGAGAGAGAGAGAGAGAGAGAGAGAGAGAGAGAGTACCACGATGCCAAGTTCCCCATGAAACTCTGTCTTCTTCTGAGTTCTCACTAGGCAGAGAGCAATTGACTGGGTTGGGGAGTGGGGCAGGGCTGAGGCCAACTTCACCCACACTGGAAACGGAATTTGCAACCCACAGCAGTGAGGAGACCCTCCCCCCCCACCCGAAAGGGCAGAAAGGCAGCCAGATACCTGCTTGACCAGAGAGGAACTTCCTAGTAGCTTGGCTGCTGTGGCAGTAGTGAGCGCCCTGCGCTGAGGTCATTAGAGAGAAGGGTTGGTGAAACTGAACTGAGGCACATCTCTGGGCTCTGGGGAAGTCTTTTGCTCAGGAGAAAGGGGAAGACAGCCTGGAAAAATAGCTCACTGTTTGGAGAAGGGACTTGAGGCATTGTCTCCTGGCATATAGGAGTCTCCAGCTCCTCTTGGGTCGTTG